CAGAAGGCACGGTTGGTAGCTCAAGGATTCTCTCAAGTTCCAGGCGTTGACTACGGAGCCACCTTCGCCCCCGTCATCAAAACAGCCTCTGTCAGGTTCATTGCAGCCCTGGCCTGTCATAACAACTGGGAGCTACATACCTTCGATGCAAGACGAGCATTCCTCTGGGGCGTCCTCAAGGAAGAGATCTACATGAGGCAACCCAAGGGCTTCGAGGAGGGCGACTGGGTGAGAATGGTATGGCTAATGCTTCGAACCATCTACGGCCTGAAGCAGTCAGCCATGGAATGGTACGAACAGGTCCATGCTGTCATGATCGAACTTGGGTTCACGTGTTGCGCCGTTGACCACGCTGTATTCATCTACAACAAAGGGGATGACAGCACTCGCATTTATTGCATTGTGGGGTGGCACATCGACGATGGCATGGGTACGTCAAACTCTAAACTGTTCCTTCAGCACGTCAAGGGCCGCATCACCCAACACTTTGGAATCAAAGACCTTGGCCCCATCCAATGCTTTCTCGGTATCCAGTTCGAACACAACAGAGCAACACGTCAGCTCTGGATGCATCAAGGGGAGTATATCACTTACCTCCTCGACGAGTATGACTTGCTTGACTGCAACCCAGTTCATCTCCCATTAGACGCCAACCACCCCTTTGGTCGCGATTCAGACAGCTACGACGACATCTCCCACTTATGCCCCCGCTGTCATGCATGGTATGGAACTCATACCATGACATTGATAGACAGGAAGTAGCTACAGAGAGTACACTAAGGTGTACCTCGTTGTATTATTATGATTGGTTCCATTTTGACAGATTTACTTGTATTTATATTTCCAGTATGATAGTTTTCACCTTTCCCCTTTTCTTTTCTTTTCTTTTATGTGGTTTATTCAGCCACCAGTGAGCCACCAAGATGTGTTAGTAAGCATGTCATGTGATAGGCAATATTCTGCTTTGTAAGGATCCTGCATGATTTGTCATGTGGCTTCCATTTGTTTCCATTTGTTTCTATTTGTTTCAGGCTCATTCAGCCACAGAATCCTTCAATGAGCCACCAGATATGTTTGTAAGCATGTCATGTGATAGGCAATAATCTGATTTGTAAGGATTTGTCGTGATTGGTCATGCTTTGTAATATTATGAACTTTATTTGTAAACTACTTTGTAAGCAGCTGATTCAGCACTGCCAAATGGCATGGTTAGTAAGCCAGTGACTTACTAATGCTGTGATGAGTCATGCTTAGTAAAATGGCCTCCCAAAAAGGTATAAAAGGAGCCCATTCTACACTGAGTAATAATAACTTCCCACTTTTCACTCTTCTCTCAAACGTGAGAGTCCATAAGACTTAAAAGTGCAGGCCAAGAGTGCCTTGAAGTAAGATAAACATCGTATCAGAGATTAGTTGTATACTACCTTACAGGGGTCGCTTATATAACAATCTATTTATAAACTACTTGTTGTGTGCTACCTTTCAGGGGCTGAGTATACAACACCAGAACAGCTTTCGTACTAGGCTTTACGTATTTAAGACAGATTTCATTACTTGTTGTGTACTACCTTACAGGGGTTGAGTATACAACACCAGAACAGCTTTCTAACCAGGCTTCACGTATTTTAAGACAGACTCTCTCTTTCTCAGGAAGGGAGACACAAGAACACGACAAAGTTGAGACAGACTTTCATAGGTTGAGACACGACCTACGAGATTGAAACAGATCTTACTATCAGAACATTAGGGAATCTACGAGTATTCCACTAGGGAACAACAAGAAGAGGACACGTCAGTAAACCCTCCCAAGAACTCACATGTTATCTACTACGAAAACTAGAAAAGTCGTAGACCGTGTACTTAAGGACTGGCAAGAAGTCTTATCCTGTATAGTTGTGTTGTCACTATACACGCATTGTACATAAGACCCTTAAGTAGCAAGACATCACTGGAGCCCACCGCGAGGGAGGCTTCTTCTTGTTATAGTATATAAAACCAGTCATCGTATGGGCAATATTGCCCCAGATTTCGAAATCACACCGTATTCGTCGATGTCTGTGCCGAGCACCATGTCATCTATTTTGCCACCACAGGCAACAAGTACTATGTCACGCATAATCACATTATCCGTATTAACAATGCCCAACCCGGGAACTAAGGCAGCACCTGCCAAGTTCAAGGGAGGCTTTGCAGAGGTCAAAAGTTTTCTTAAACATTATGAGAAACTTTGTAACTGCCATAATGTAGTCTCTGACAAAGATAAATGTGAGACTATTACCCAGTATATGTCCCGACACGTAACCGAGTTCGTGGAAGGACTAGCGAGCTTTAGAACTCCTGATTGGAAACAGCTTAAGGCTGACATCCTAAAGTATTATGATGCAGACTTAGACACCAAGAGATATAGGAGAAAAGATTTATTGTCCTACGTAAGGACAATGCGAGGCAAGAAAATCCCTAGTCTTACTGCTTGGAAGAAGTATGTAAGCGGATTTATACGTATAGGTGGATGGCTTGAGCAAGCCAAGAAACTATCTACCGAAGAATATGCCAGCTACTTCTGGGAGGGCATTTATAAGAAATTACAAATCAAGATCGAGACCCACCTTATGGCTAAGGACCCTGATAGGGATTTATCTGAAGCCTTCCCAGTTGACAGAGTAGTTGCCATAGCCGAGAAGCTTTTGCACCGAGATCGATATGATGCGGATTTGTTAGTATCCGAAGTAGAGACCGAGTCCGAGAGTGATTCATCTACCGAGGAGACATCTGAGGATGAAAGTGACTCAGAATCTAGTGAATCTGAGGTCGATTTTTTTCGAAGAAAGAAGGGTCAAGACCCTAAGGATAAGAAGGGACTAAAGAAAGTCCAAAAGAAGCAGAAAGGATACTCTAAGGAAGCAAAGACTAAGACTTCCTCCAAGGATACTAAGACCCCTATCAATACTTCACCTGAACCAATCGACGAAGTCGAGGGGCTTATTAAAAGACTTAATGTGATTTCTCTCGATGATCCAGACTATGCCTTATTATATTACCGGGCAACTCAAATTGATCCAACAGTGAGAGAAATGATAGCAGCTCCAATTGTCAAAGGGAACAGTGCCCCGCGTACAGAATACAAAGGGTATAGTAAAGACACTACTCAGAATGTTTCCAGAGGAAACAACACGGTACAAGCAACACGAAACAGAGCCCAACCAGGCACTAGGTTCTACCAGCCGCCGAATACCTCCTATAACGAGAAGGTGTGCTTTGGTTGTGGAGAGAAGGGCCATGGGCTACCCATCTGCCCAGACATCAAGAAACTTATCGCCGACAGCAAACTTACCAGATCGGAAAGCAGGAGAGTCGAACGAACCGATGGACGACCCATCAGACGTCTCCCAGAAGAAACCGTCATTGAAGCATTGAAGAGAGAAGACCAGGCACCAGTGGCGCACTTTATCAAGGTACACCCAGATAATGCGCTAGGGTATACAGCTGGTCAGAGAAAGAAAGAAAAGAAAGAGTTTAAAAGCGCCTACCTTGAGGAGTATGAGACCTCAGACTATGGGTGCTATGACTCAGAGGATAGTGAGCCGGTCCTTGAGACCAATGATGACAGCGATAGCGAGTTCTATGCGTTCCCAGTGGAGAGAACAACGAAGAACTCCACACTGGGAAGACGCAATAGGTATGAGCAGGTATTCCCACTGACCGAAGCTAAATGAAGGAAGACGAATGAGTCATGAGCAAACGGCAAGGAAAACGTACCTGAAGGAACCGCGCCACTCGACAAACGACCCAGTCCAGCTCCAATCAATCCCACCCAGCGAGCCGTGCCCAAGAGCAAAGACGCTAGAGGCAAGGTAGAGAAAGAGAAAGAGAAAGAGGCACCTAAGGTGCAGAGAGATAAAGGGTGGGATAGCGAGGATATTGTAATGGATGATGAGTCCATAGTTAAGAATGAAAGAGAGAGAAAGACGTCATCCAGGACTTACCCGGAAAATTCAATTGCCGACCGGAAATCGCCGGTACGCCAGCGTATCTCTGAACTAAGTGCTAAAACCAAACCAGAGAGAATTCTGGACTCCGTTTTGAAGACCCCGATTAGGACAGAGGTTGGGGAGCTCCTAGGAACATCTAAAGAACTTAGTGGTATTCTCGCCAACGTGATTAAACCGAAACCCGTGGGAAACGAACCGAAAATTGAGGCCCACTCAGTGTGGACCAAAACCCACGGATTATTAATCAAGATAGCAATGCAGTGTGACGATCACATGATTAACACGATCATTGACACTGGCTCTCAACTGAACATTGTTAATAAGCATATTTGGAAGACAATTATAAATCGCCCGATTGATATTGCTAAATCTGTCTCAATGAACGACGCGAACGGCGGAGAAGGCAAATTACGCGGCTTAGTGCAAAATGTCCCCCTAAACTGTGGGGGAGTCAATACTCAAGCAAACTTATTTGTGGGTGACCACGTCCCTTTCAGCTTATTGTTAGGATGACCCTGGCAGCGTTGGAACTATGTTTCCATTGACGAAAGAAAGGACGGCACCTGGCTATTATTCAAGGATCCACTGGATTTAGAAGTCCGCTATGAACTTTTGTGTACTCCAGATGGTACCGATCCACACTGGGACTTTGAACCATCCACATGGATTGGGAACCTTACCGAATCGAGCCTGCTCATTGTTTTAAACAATGAGTCCATGAATTTAAACGAGACGCGTCCACAACGACGTGACACGTCGAATCACGTGACTTCCACCTTAGGAAGTGATCTTAAGCCTAAGACACACATTCGTCAGCAGTGTGTCATTGAACCCAAATATTATTCAGACCAAATTGAAATAAATCAAATCGAATTTAATTTAAAAGAAACGCTAGAATTAAAATTGAGTCTTCGGTCTTCGAGCCTCATATCTGGCGAAAACAGAGCGAGGCAACTCATCCACAGTCCACATTTCAATGGTCCACCAAACTTGGACAAACAACACGTCAACATGGACGACAATAGTTTCTTGGGCGCTTGCGCCAACGTCCACGACTTCCTTTCTAGGAACTCCGGCAATTTCCACTTCGCCACAACCATTGAGGATGATGCCCTCACATTATCATTCTATCCGTCAAATTATTCATCCACAGACGACTCTGTTTCTCAAGGCTCTTCCTACCCACCCACACCTGCTTACTCTCCTGTACAGTGGACATTTGCCACTGGACAGGAGGACCACATAGTCTCACCGGCACAAGACCAAGTGCCCACCAATGCTTTTGACACTTGCCTTGTTCCAAGTCCCTTTGGCTTGGAAGCCCTACCTGGACCTGGATGCCACCTCAACAAGGACAGCGCGTCTAGTGAGGAGAGAGATGAGCTTGGAGGTGACAGTGAGAGTGAGGAAGGTGGTGGTAAGCCTTTTTCTTCTTTCTTCCTTAAGAACTTGGAAGCAACTGAATTTGCCATGGATATAGACACTGATCCCATCATTTTCGTCCCAACAGCATTCTAAACGAGTCCCGGGAGTCAAACGGCACCTCTGTTTCAAACGGCACTTCCATTTCAAACGGTACATCCGTTCCTCTCACTCCTGCTGTACTGACCATGTTCGATATTTTAATAGCTTCTACCCAAGGTGAAATCTCTATGCCTAACGGCACCCTTAACGATTCTCACCAGTCAAATGGCTCATCTGTTTTACGCGACTCCTCCAATCTAAACGCTACCCCAGTCTCAAACGGCCCATCCGTTTCCAACGCCACATCAGTCCTGAATGGTATAGCCATTTCAGCTGATGTCCCTGCATTAACCATTTCCAATATTCCTACCATGCTAACTGTCCAAGACGCTTCTAGAGTGTCTGTTGAGGACAGATCTATCAGCACCAACACCACCTTACCTGCAGAAAGTGCAGAACGCTCTACTGTGTCCTTGGACACCATACTAGAAGATAAACCCGGTGAGCCGTCGCATATAGCAGGGTTCTATGACGTGCTCAGCCGGATCATAGGAGAGGCAGGATATAGCCTGCACGACAACAACAACAACGACACCATTGAGGACAACGTTGACATGAAGGATGGGACTACAAGTGAACAGGTACAGTCCGTCCCACTTGTAGACTCGTCCAACGTGTCCTCCAAAGCTAACAAAACACCACCTATCCACGCCAATTCGTTGGTTCGCTCTAGTGCTATTGGAGAAGACAACGAACCAGTCGACATCTACTTTGTCCGTCCCGCGCTAAACATCGTCCAGCCAGGACAACCTTTGCCAACCGACAATGTTCCACCCACGCCACCTTCTTCGACCGAGAGCTTTACTCCAGTCGACGACATCCCAAAGCTCGAGCTACCAAAGCCCAACCTTTTTTCGAAAATGACACCGTTCTACCAAGTACATCTGTCCACCGTTCTCGATGGCATCTCGCCGAGAGACGCTAACACTTACCTTACATCTGAAGTCGCTAGTTTTAGCGATTTTCACTCTGTCTATTTCCACCATGTTGCCAATGCTATAGCGTCTTATTGTTTCTGTCAGGACCAGCTAATCTCTATTGACTGGGAGGTAGAATCCTACCAGAATGATGATTACCCTGGCCATAAAACGCTTACTGCTGGGAATATTGATTTGCCTTCCGGAGGTCTGCGTTCTCAACGTGACTGGCCCGAGCGCATTTCCGAGATAACAGACCATCGTTCGCACACTTGACACCTGATTCATACCATCAACACAATCCTATCAGCTCGCATGCTCTCCGAAGCATCCAATATGCTTCCGATTTTAAAATGTGACAAACGAAATGTCATTAAGAGCAATCTACCTAAGTCTTTCTTTATTGGGCGCTATAACGAAGTTAATCCATTTATAACCCCGCGCGAAGCACGACACTTCAACGCTATCATAGCAGTAGCCCGTTTCCATGGAGAAGACGAGTTTGCATCCAAACTCAAAGACTCTCTCCTCATGCCTTTCCCCGACGAAGATACTATCGGCGCTATGGCTGAATGTGACCTTCTCGATACCGGTTCGAACAAGCAGATAATTCAATTCGCTCGGGACCGTGATAAGGTCCTCAATGTTAAACGCTCATCAATAGTAGTCATAGCTACCTCGCCTTTTCGGACGGAATATTTCGATGGTCCGTCCTCTCTTCCTTCAACCTGGTATGAGCTCTCTGGTATTGACTATGATGAAGAAGATTTTAAGGGTTCCGAGAAATGTACTCGAGCCCCAAGCAAAATGGTCCGAAAGTTCTTCCTCTAGGCAACTAGAGGTAAGATCTCCCTTTGCTTGTCTCTTGTCTTATCTAACTAGATTTTTTACTCCCAGTGTTCGTGATTTTCGCCCTTTTCATATCATTTATTCCGTTTTTCAACTCTACCGTTTCGATTTTCGACATCCCGCGCTCGAATTCCCACGTCTCATACTTCCGTTTTTCTCGACTCGCCGAAAACACGCTTTAACCCATAAAAAATGGATCCTCGACTCGATTCTGATCTTTATATGTATTTTTATCTCTGTCTCGCTCATGTTTCAACTCGATTGCCTGATTTTTGTTTATATTTTTATGTTCGAGCTTCATATATATATAAATAACCTACGATGCAGGCTTCTGTTCCCGTTCGATTTGTTATGAGTTACTTACAAAAAAGGTCAAGAGGAGATAGCTATTGATACGAGTTACCAGTTCTGTAATTCAATTCTTTGGTTGTCCGTTAACTTGCCTGATTTTTCTAAGTACCTTGATCCAAAATTAAGTCTAAGTATCTCTAATATACAGGAGAAAGACTTAAGCACTAGTAAATTAGTTTACCCACACGAAGTTTTGGAAGATGAGTCCATAGCTGAATGCTATGATAGACTTATGAATTCCACGAGTGATTCTACCTCTGAAGTTAGGGGTATGAACCAACACAAGCCTATTACTTCAACAGAGCTCAATTTTTCTGATGATGCTGATAGTGATTCAGACATGATTATCTCAGGAGACTCAGGATGTGATTTCCTTGAGGATAATCCTATATTTACTATGTATAAGAGAGTGGATAAGAAAGTTAAACCAGTATCTGGTACTTTTCCACAAGAAGCCCAAGTTGACCGACAATTTCCACACGACCCCCTCCAAGATTTGATCCCACTATCACCAATTCCTCCCGAGTTTGTTCCTAGAGGGTGACTTACCCAAGAATGCATGGCTAGTCTTAAATTGAATCCTACTGGATTTCTTTGGCCCGAGGAAGTCAAACTATTTCAGCATATTATGCAACTCAATCAAGAGACACTAGCTTTTGAGGAGACCGATAGGGGAACCCTCAAAGAGTCATATTTCAGTCCATATATTATTCCCACTGTGCCACATATGCCATGGGAATACAAGAATATTCCGATCCCTCCAGGGATACGTCAGAAAGTTATTGAACTACTTAAGTCTAAAATTAACGCAGGAGTATATGAACCCAGTCAATCTGCTTATCGTTCATGTTGGTTCTGTGTACTCAAGAAAAACGGGAAACTAAGACTAGTTCATGACCTTCAACCACTCAATAAGATTTCGATCCGAGACGCTGGCCTCATTCCGATAGTAGATGATTTTGTAGAGTCATTTGCTGGAGCACAGTGTTACACCGTATTTGATTTGTTCTGGGGATTTGATGCATGAAAAATGCACCCAGACAGCAGAGATTTGACAGCCTTCCTAACTCCATTAGGATTGCTACGATTAACTGCTTTACCGATGGGATACACGAATGCACCTGCAGAATTCCAGAAATGCACGAGCTTTGTTCTGCAGGATGAAATCCCTCACATAGCCAATGTATTCATAGATAATCTCCCGGTCAAAGGACCTAAGACTATCTACCCTGATGATGAAGGTAATCCCGAGGTCTTAGAAGAAAACCCAGGGATTAGACGATTTATTTGGGAACATGCTAATGATGTTCACCAAATTATGCACCGTATTAAGGATGTAGGAGCCACATTTTCTGCAACCAAGATTCAGTTATGCCTTCCTGATGTCCTTATAGTTGGACAAAGATATACTCCGGAAGGAAGATTACCCGACACCGAGAAAGTATCCAAGATTCTAAACTGGCCAATCCCTTCCACAGTTAAGGAAGCACGAGGATTCATGGGCCTTTGTGGAACAGTTCATATTTGGATATTAGGATTTTCTGAGCTGGCTAGATCTATTACCCAGCTTTGGAAGAAAGATGCCCCTTTTATTTGGGGAGAGCAGCAGAATCATGCTTTCAAGACCTTAAAGAAACTTATATGTTCAGCACCCGCAATGAGGAGTATTGACTATACCTCCTCAAATCCCGTATATCTATCCGTTGATTCCAGCTTTATCACTGTAGGAATCATCCTCTCTCAGATTGACAATCAAGGAATTCGACATCCAGCTTGATATGGTTCTTTACTGATGGGTGATGCAGAGTCACGCTATTCTCAGCCCAAGTTAGAACTGTATGGACTTTTCTAAGCACTACGACACTACAGACTTCATATTATTGGAGTACAGAATCTTCACGTTGAAGTAGATGCCAAATACATTAAGGGCATGCTCAATGAACCAGACCTTCAACCGAATGCAACCATTAATAGATGGATTCAAGGAATCCTTCTATTCGATTTCACACTTCACCACGTACCAGCTACCAAGTTTAGAGGACCTGATGGTCTATCCAGACGTCCTCCAGCCTCAGATGAGGAAAATATTCCTGAAGATGATTCATGGTTGGATGAAATCGCTTTATTCACAACCATTGAGAAACCTATATCATTACCATATAGCTCTCAGGAGCTACCATCCATATTATTGTCCACTGCTGATCAAGAGCAGATGTTGACAGACATTTTCAAGTTCCTTACAACCTTAGAAGCTCCTAATTTTGAAATGACATTGAAACATTGTCTTGCTACTTAAGGGTCTTATGTACAATGCGTGTATAGTGACAACACAACTATACAGGATAAGACTTCTTGCCAGTCCTTAAGTACACGGTCTACGACTTTTCTAGTTTTCGTAGTAGATAACATGTGAGTTCTTGGGAGGGTTTACTGACGTGTCCTCTTCTTGTTGTTCCCTAGTGGAATACTCGTAGATTCCCTAATGTTCTGATAGTAAGATCTGTTTCAATCTCGTAGGTCGTGTCTCAACCTATGAAAGTCTGTCTCAACTTTGTCGTGTTCTTGTGTCTCCCTTCCTGAGAAAGAGAGAGTCTGTCTTAAAATACGTGAAGCCTGGTTAGAAAGCTGTTCTGGTGTTGTATACTCAACCCCTGTAAGGTAGTACACAACAAGTAATGAAATCTGTCTTAAATACGTAAAGCCTAGTACGAAAGCTGTTCTGGTGTTGTATACTCAGCCCCTGAAAGGTAGCACACAACAAGTAGTTTATAAATAGATTGTTATATAAGCGACCCCTGTAAGGTAGTATACAACTAATCTCTGATACGATGTTTATCTTACTTCAAGGCACTCTTGGCCTGCACTTTTAAGTCTTATGGACTCTCACGTTTGAGAGAAGAGTGAAAAGTGGGAAGTTATTATTACTCAGTGTAGAATGGGCTCCTTTTATACCTTTTTGGGAGGCCATTTTACTAAGCATGACTCATCACAGCATTAGTAAGTCACTGGCTTACTAACCATGCCATTTGGCAGTGCTGAATCAGCTGCTTACAAAGTAGTTTACAAATAAAGTTCATAATATTACAAAGCATGACCAATCACGACAAATCCTTACAAATCAGATTATTGCCTATCACATGACATGCTTACAAACATATCTGGTGGCTCATTGAAGGATTCTGTGGCTGAATGAGCCTGAAACAAATAGAAACAAATGGAAACAAATGGAAGCCACATGACAAATCATGCAGGATCCTTACAAAGCAGAATATTGCCTATCACATGACATGCTTACTAACACATCTTGGTGGCTCACTGGTGGCTGAATAAACCACATAAAAGAAAAGAAAAGAAAAGGGGAAAGGTGAAAACTATCATACTGGAAATATAAATACAAGTAAATCTGTCAAAATGGAACCAATCATAATAATACAACGAGGTACACCTTAGTGTACTCTCTGTAGCTACTTCCTGTCTATCAATGTCATGGTATGAGTTCCATACCATGCATGACAGCGGGGGCATAAGTGGGAGATGTATTGTCTGAGATATTACTCATGAGAGGTTGCAAGGTAGAATGGACCTTCGAGGCCTGTGCATAAGTGTCACATTTGATGGCGATGGGAAATGGCGTGCTTCGGAAACCACAAGTGATACAGGGTCTTGAAAAAAACTGCTGGTCAGTGTCAAGTGGGATCATGTACTTATAGATAGACTCACCGATGTATAAAAATGCCTGGATCTTTTCCACCAATCACGACCCAATGAGAATCTATCATTATGTTGTTGATGCGTTGATGGACAGTTGATGGTAGCTGAGCGCTGGTCGATGACTCGAAGATGAGTAATGGTGGTATGTGATGTGAACATTGATCAATCAATATGACTGTTTATCACTGTTATCAATCAGTGATGCGTGATCATCGGCTGTCACTATCACGACCTTATGATTTTCAACTTTGCGCACATAAGCCTAGCTGGAAGGTACAAGGCCAACAGAACAGATCATTGCAATGTATGAAGTACAGAATCAAAAAATGCTATCAAGGACGCAATGCCATATCAGAGATACATTCTATGAGAGTCCCTATGTCCCGCTCCACTTCATCACTTTCGTCTAAACCTTCTTCGCTCTCATCATTCTCGAGTGGCTGATCTGTGGTCACAGCGGAGGGAACTTCAACACTGCTAGACCCCTTTATAATACCAGAAGACTTGTCTCCACTAAACGCATCAAGACAATGAATCTGGGCGATGCGTGATAAGAGTTGTTGGTTGATACGACGTCGATGAGTGCAGTGCTCATGCACGGCTACAAAGATAGGTGAGTTGGACGTCTTGAGTGCATCAAGTATGCGGGTGAATGCTTCGTTCTCGACAACAACTGCAGTGTGTAAGCGATGCACTTCAACATCACAACGGGTAATCTCCTCCTTTGCACGTTGAATGCGGAGATATTGGCGGATAGTCTCCCAAACTGCAGGCTTGGTCCATGGTTTCTCGCGAATGTCTTGCCGGGTTTCACAAAGTAGGTTGAATTCATCAAGGAAACTGAAGTGTGAGACTTTTGACCACTCAAGTGGTGGCTGTGGCGGTTGCAAGTCTGATGCTGCCTCGTTATACTTCCTGACAGCATTTTGGATTGCTCAACATCAAGTTTGAAGAGATTTCACGATATGGGTGCACATCTTGTACGCTATAAAGTACTTCAGTGACATTTCAACCAATAAATCAAAAAACTTACTGGTTTGCGAGACATGAGGTCTTTGCAACTCAAACAATCATTGCACAACAAGACACTGTATATTATCGAGGGCCTTATGATACTTGCGAAGCGTCATGTATTTTAGGGTATCTTGATATTCAGGCGATGATATATTCCAGTGATTTGCGATACCGAGCTTAATTTCCATGGAAATGACTTTGCATTGAATGACACTAAAGCATTCAGCTGCAAAGTGTTGCTGTGTCTTGAGTTTCCATGTCTGCGATAGATTGGCTGAATAGAAGTTGGACTCTGAAGCAGCCGTGAATTGATAGTCATCCGGGGCAGCAGAAATGAAACAATTGAAGTTCGCAGAAGCTTGGCACCTGCAAAAGACATCAGTTACAAGTAGACACAAGAAGGAAACACTGACTCAAGTTCTTGCATTTGTTGAAGCAGTTCGACATACACGATGGCATGTGCATCCCACTCGAGTTCCTTCCCAAGCATCTGGAAGTACCGAATCTCTTCAGCTCGCCAATTCACGAGGTCAGTGTCTTGTACGCCAAGAGAAGTCTTTGCCTCCTCCAATGCTACAGTCTCCAATGATATAATTTGCAGTGCTTGCCGATAGTTGTTGAGTAGAATAGTGCCGAGGTTTGCGTACTTGTCTTCATCCCACTGCTTGAAGAACAGATCCAGGAACATGTGACGGCGGTAGGCACTAGCATAGCGAATGACAGGCGCTAGCACATTCGAAGCACTGAAGATGCGCTCAGCAACGCCAAAGTCTTCAAGTCCTGCGCCTTCGATGCCGAGAGGATGGTGTTGAGTTTGACACACGTAATTGTGTGCGTAACCGTGGAACGAGTCAACACACAAACGTGACTGCATTTCCATGAATGTAGTACCCAAGGATGATGCACGAACCGTAGATGAGTATCCACACCCAATGTCATAGGCACCAAGTGTGCACTCGCTGATGATTTCAAGGACTTTGGCAACAATTGCCAACGGATACTTTGCTCTGCAGTGTGAGTCAGTAACGTAACAATGAGGAGAAGGATTCACGAACAACTCGCCACTTCTAATCATATCTGCATACCATAAGATGAATCCATGTCTACAGGCTGCAACAAAGATCCCTGTCTCATCGAAGACTGCTCACATCCTTTTCTTATCATCGTCTGCCGCTGCTTTCCAGTTTTTGCTACAATCTTCAGCTATTATGTGTGCCCAGGAGACATCTTCTTCGGCTTCGGAGATGGTGTCATCATCAGGGCGATCATTGACTTGATGTGCAGAGCGAGATTGCAGCACTTCATTAGTGAAGCGATCAATGACGGTACGTGGAAGCATGTAATCACTCTCATCATACACCTGAGTGTTGCCACATTGTTGGTCACCAATGCCCATCATACGCTTGGCTGAATTGCCACCATCCATCACATACATACGTGTAAACTTGAGTGGCGGTTCACCATTCAGTTCATAGGAGCATGGAGGACATGCATTGAGTACCCGCCAATTAGGTGCATCACGTCCAAGGGCTGTGTCCACTCATCTCCCGACTTCGTGAAGAATGGTGAGGTACACATCAAACGAGTCTGCCAAGGCAGTGTGATATGAGTGGCGGTAAGTGATATAAGTTTTGTAAGCGTGGATCTAAGGCATACATTGATGGAACACATACCAAGTAAGAGTCGCATATTACCTTTGCGAAGGCTTCAATACTGAGTGATGGCTTGCACAAGCGAAGCAGGCGGTAATGTTCAAGAGTCCGCAGGGATATTGCAATTGAGGGATTGTGGGGTGCATTGCCCAGAAATCCAGCGGATACAAGCGACTGAACTGGAGATAGGGAATCCTCCAACCGGTGAAATGTTGCGCACGTAGATAGTGTGAATATGTTGACTGTGGTGATGGAGAAGGAGTAGTCGTTAGAGTCTGGCATTGGACTTCTTTGCTGTGGTTCAAGGGGGGTGCTGGCTTGTGAGGACTTCCAGGTAAGATATGTGACCACTAGCATAGGAATAAGAGGGTGCCAGTTAGCATGAACAGATTCTAGCCAGTGACGCCATGTACAAGTATCTGTATGTTGATGGTAGGCCCATCTGAGGATGATGAGAAGATATTAAGTCAAAGAGAAAAAAATGTACAGATTATCGACGTAGTCACGGATAGCATATACAATGCTTTCCTCATTGCTCATATGCTCTGGGAGTGCCTCTACGTCCAGACCAATGTCCTCACTGTCAATCCACTCGGTGTCTTCACGTCGTGCTGGCGATTCCTCACGCATGTTGGCAAGTGCGTTGATGGTCTCATCAGCGAGCCCTAGGACCAATAAGATGTAGAAAAGTAGACAGAATTATGATAGAGTACTCACCAGTGAAGGATTAGTACAATTCGCGTGGGTCTGTAATAGACAGACTCTCTCAGATCGTGCACGCGAAGGCAAATGTCTCTGTATTCACCTGTAATAGACAGACTCTCTGCACAACATGAGTAAAAGTGAATCATAAGTGAAGAACTAAGTATCTTACCTCAGATCGTGCACGCGAAGGCAAACATCTGAGGTAACAAGTTGAAAGGCAGAAGCTAAATAGTTCGAGTGATCTTGTAAGTGAGTGAAACTAGGAACAATGGGATAAGGGCGCTGGCCATAGCGTACAAAGGATTCAGTAGGTACAAGACCGAGATAAATAACAAGACCGAACAATGAAACATATGAGTCGTTGGGTTGAACCAATCAGAAGATGCGGATAACGAAACACCACAGCTGCGGGCGTACTTGCTCAATTCCAACACTCTCCCTCAAGTCGAACGCAGTCCGAGTTCCACGGCAAAGTGTTTAACTTTTGGTGATGGCAGAGCTTTGGTTAGGGTATCGGCGATCATATCCGCAGTAGGACAGTAGATGAGGTGTAGTTTGTCATTGTCGATAACCCAACGAATGAAGTGAAAGCAAATGTCAATATGTTTGGTGCGAGTGTGATATTGGTGGTCTTTGGCGAGGGCAATGGCGGATTGGTTGTCGGAAAACAACGTGGTAGGAGTAGTGATGGGGGTAAATAACTCGCCGATGAGTGATCGAAGCCATAACGCTTCCTTGGTGGTGTGGGTTGCTGCGACATACTTGCTTTCTGTAGTAGAAAGGGAGACGATACTTTGTTGTTTGGATGACCATGAGACCGCTCCACCATCAATCAAGAATGCGTACCCTGAGATTGCCTTTCTGTCCTCTGCCATGCTTCCATCCGCGTCAGCATATCCTATTAACGCTCCTTCAACACCGCCGTAGGTCAACTTCAAGTCCTTTGTCCCCAGAAGATACCGATAGATGTGTTTGACAGCATCCCAATGAGCCGCTCCAGGGTTACTGGAGAAATGAGAGACCATTGTTACGGCATAGGAGATATCTGGTCAAGTGCCAAGTGATGCGTACATGAGAGAGCCGATTGCTTCTCGGTAAGGGACATGTCGCATAGCTGCGAATTCAGCACCTGTGGAAGGAGACTGACCTGAGTGAAGTCTAGCATTCGGTTCCATAGGATTGGAGACGGGCTTGAGGTCCTCAAAGCTGAAGCGACAGATGATAGAGTCGATGTACGAGCGTTGTGACAAGGAAATGGTATGTTCGTCACGGTTCCGTGTGACTTCAATTCCGAGTAGCCAGTGGAGTTCACCGAGGTCAGTGATTTCCACATGCTTTCTAATCTGATTCTTCAGCTCGCTTATCTCATCCGTTGACTTAGCTGCTAGAGTGCAGTCATCGACGTGCACAACGACGATGGTGTGCTCCTCATTTTTCTTCCTCCTGTGGAAAACGGCTTGATCCACAGCACACTGTGTAAATCCCAGCTTTTCCACCAAAATCTCCACAAGTCGTTGGTACCAGCGCCTGCCACTTTGCTTCAAGCCATATAGAGTCTTGCGAAGGCGACAGACTCAATTTGGGTGCTCGGTGGATTCAAAACCTGGAGGCTGGCGCATATATATGACTTCATCATCAGTGAGTTTACCGTTCAGATAGGCTCCTTTGATGTCAATTTGATGAGGCTCTAGATTCAAGCGCGCAGATAAGGCAAGGACCGTCCTGATGGAAGATAGATTCGCGACGGGCGCGTATGTGTCGAAGAAATCGACACCAGGCACTTGGGAGAAGCCTTGAGCAACAAGGCGGGCTTTGTGACATACCACATTGCCTGCAGCGTCTTTCTTTGCGCGGAAGACCCATTTGGAGCCTACAAGGTTAGCCCCTGCAGGTAAGTCTACAAGTTCCCAAGTTCCAGCCGTTTGTAGTGTGGCTAACTCTTCTCTGATACCTTCCTCTCATTGCGCCCAGTCTGGGCGACGTTTCGCTTCAGCTAGCGTGCTTGGCTCGAGGGCTTCTGCTTCAGCAGTCTTCTCTCCGATTGCAAGAGCAAAATCGAGGGAACATAGTTCGTCATCCGAGTCTTCTAGGATTGCCATGAGTTGCTCTGTGGCATTCTCTCCCTCGTTCTTGGCTTCCTCGGTGACTTTGGGTAACTGGATGCCCTTAGGTACTGTACCTGTTTCTTTGATGATGTCCAGTACTCGCTGACTCAGTTTTCTTACCCGTTTAGCGACCATTTCGAGTATCAGTGAATTCGGAAGAGTGGGAATTTTGGAAGGGGGTGGAACTTTTGGCATTTGTGGGACTGTGGCTGGTGCACTGGATGGTGGTGTAGGGATCTGCGGTGGAGGCGTTATCATTGTGTTAGGTGCGTTATCTTCTTCCTCTCCCTCACGAGATAACATCTCAACGGTGGATGGATCCCAATAGACATTTCGTTCGACAGAAATGGACCGTTTGGCTGGCCAGTATACCCTGCAGCCATTATTGCTGGCATCATCGATGCCAACCCACCTGCCCTCAGTGACTCACCCACCAAGCTTACTTCCATCTTCTACACATACCCAGACACTAGAACCCCAAGGACGAACTTGGCGAAGATCTGTTTTCTTGCCAGTAGTGGTGTCTTCTTACTTGAGGGTCTTATATGTTGATCAGAATACAATGACTATCACAATTGTATTCTTTAAGACTAAGGTGCCAGCTCCTCAAGTTCACGGTCAACGGATTTTCTACTTCTCGGTTGATAACGTGGTGTTCGTGGGTGGCCAAAGGGTAATAAATTACTTCTTTGCTAGATCACTTCTTGATAGTAAAGGAGTAGTATATATTTTGTCAGGTTAACTGAAACCTAGTAGGTAATATGGACCTCTCTGAACTGAATGTGGCACGAATATGTAAAACGATGGATAAAACGATAGATTATTGTATAGGCGATCCCTGTAAGATAGTATACAATCAATCTAGACTAAAAGAATATGATTGTTTTCAAAGGCAACTCGTAGGCCTTCACTTTCTTCGTGATCTCACAGTGTTGAGACAGAAAGTGGGAAAACTCCTGACTTCAAATTCCTACGTTCCCACACGGTTTGGGAAAAGAATGGAAGGGGAAAAACTTCATATATTATGTGAGAATGGAGTCCTTATATACATTTTAGAAACCATCCTTACTAAGCAATGAGTCATCACTGGATTGGTAAGATTATGCTTACAAACCAAGCCTTTTGGTGTGCTGAATCAGCTGCTTACTAAAGTACATGAGTAAAATATTACAAAGCACTGTAAAATATTACAAAGCATGACGAATCATGACAAAACATGATGAGTCATGGAAAGTCCTTACAAATCAGAATATTACCAGTCACATGACATGCTTACAAACATATCTGAGTGGCTCACTGATGTAATCAGGTGGCTGAATAAACATAAACAAATAATGGAAAGAGACAGAAACTAATGGAAACTACAAATACAACTAAATAAATAGAAACAAAGCTTACATAAGTAAGAAGTATATCCTTTGTACACTCCTCTACTTATCTCCTTTTATACTGCTATTTGTATATGTCATGGTATGAACTCCATACCATGCATGACAGTGGCTTCAAGGGGGGTACCACCATCAAGTGCCTTTGTGGGGGTTCGGTTCTTCAACCAAACGGCATGACGAACGGCTTCTCCCCACAAGGGACGTGGCAACCCACTCTCATGCAACATTGCACGGACTTTTTCAAATAGTGTGCGGTTGAGTCGCTCAGCCACTCCATTATGCTGCGGGGTGTCATGCACAGTGAGTTTCTGTTGCATACCGGCAGCCTTGAGATGGTTAACAAACTCTTTACTAAGATATTCACCACCACGGTCAGAGTGAAGGACTTTGATATGGGCGTCATGCTGAGTGCAGCACCAGGCTTCGAAGTCTCAATAGGCAGAGAAAGCCTCGCTTTTGCAATGAAGGAGATGAAGATAGGTGAGTCTCGTCTTGTCATCCATGAAGCTTATATAATAGCTTCGTCCTCCCAAGGTTGCGACAGGCGCAGGACCCCATAGATCGGTATGGACTTCCCCGGCAAAGTCTTTTGCACGCTCGCCCTCTCGGACCTTGGCTATAGGCTTGCGTGTCGCCTTGGCGTATACGCAAGACTCACAGAACGTGGTTTCCCCGGAGGATAAATCGACTTTGACACCGGAAACAAGCCCATTCTCGGCAAGATGTTGTGCGATGGATGGGGCAATATGCCCCATGCGTCTGTGAAGCTCCATGACAGTAATAGTCTCTACTGCAGCGTTCGCACTCTCATCAGTTAGATGGACAACATGATATAACCCACGCCCAGACTTGGGAATATGTCCAATGACTTCCTCAGTAGGGTCTCGGATGGTACAGGTTCCATCAGCAAAAGTGACGGTGTACCCAAGTTCATCTAGGCGGCCGATTGATACAAGGGTGTAACCGACAGCGGGAGAGTAAAGGACTTCGGTGAGTGTTAACTTGGAGACACTTACACCATTCGGGACTTCAACAACGAGCTCTCCAATACCAGTGGCATCAAAATGTTGCTTGTTTGCAGCAGCAAACATCTTTGGTGGAATGGGGGTTAGGGTTTTGAATTGGTCACGGTACGGGGAGATATGTTTTGTTGTACCAGAGTCATAGAGCTTGACGATGGTGCCATCCCCGTGTCTGTTAATGACTTCAGCAGTGAGCTCGATATGGGCATCTGTGCTGCTTCCACTGCTGGGGGCCTCTAGGTCTGTCTCCCAATCACTGATTGAAGGCAAGTCCTCTTCATCAATCTCTGAAAACCAATCTTCGTCACTATTAATGAAGTTTGATCGTTCTTCAGCATCGTCGTCTGATGATTCGGCCGATAGGAGGGTTGGGATTGAGCAGGAGGATGCATAGTCGACGGCGAAGACAGCGTCGTCTTCGGAGTCATCATTGGCTGCTGCATTAGCAGAGCCTCTAGCGCCAGCATTACTGCTGGGTGCTTTCTCAGGTTCGGGGCAACAAGCTTTAAAATGCTCTTGGGAACCGCAGTTCCAGCATGGCGGGCGTGGTCTACTTCCCCCGCCCCTTCCTCCGCGATAGGAACCTCTATTCTCTCCCCTGCCTCCTCATCCTCTGGATGACGCATCCGTGGCCGCCATAGCCTCGTCAGTGCCATTGGTCTTGGTGCCATGATTACTATGCATTGTGCGAGCATCCTTTCTGTTGCGGCATTCGGACTCCTTGATGATTAGCAAGATAAGGATATCAGGATCAATGGTCTGAGTGGGACTATAGAGTCAAGCAGTGGCTAGTTGCCCGGAGGCAAAACTAGCCAGGTGGTTCGGGAGGGATTGGATAATCGTTGATCGGTAGTCTTTTTCTTCAATTTGGACGCCTACTGCTGATAGCTCATCTCGTTTAGCACGTAGCTCATCGAGGAACGTGCGTACGTCGCCTCCACCAGGACACTTCGACTCTAGAAACTTCATGCAGAGATCTGTTTGCACGTAGGCACCCTTCTTGGTGTATTCATGCACAATCTCCGTCCACATTGCGACAACGTCGGGCAAGTTCCATACACGTAATGCAGTAGAGTCAGGAATTCATTGGGTAAGCAAGTGCTTGGCAAGGTTTTCGTGTTTCTGCCACTGAGCGAGTGCGACTGGGTCGGGAGGGGATATGGTGGTCGTTCCTCCGGACGTCATGGATAATCCGACGGGCTTGGGGTTAGCCCCGTCAAACTGTTTCCATAGATCCTTTGCTTCAACAGCGATCTGGAAACGCAACGAAAAGATCGCCCAATTAGTGCCTTTAATGTCGAGTTTGGGCACATTGGTAGGCAGGGTATCTGTAGTGACGGGCACAGTAGTAGACATCGTGAATGTACAGCTTTTTCACAGGAAAACGTGAGACATAAGGCTATTAGAGCTCAGGGCTCATAACCTGAAGGATTAGTACAATTCGCATGGGTCTGTAATAGACAGACTCTCTCAGATCGTGCACATGAAGGCAAATGTCTCTGTATTCACCTGTAATAGACAGACTCTCTGCACAACATGAGTAAAAGTGAATCATAAGTGAAGAACTAAGTATCTTACCTCAGATCGTGCACGCGAAGGCAAACGTCTGAGGTAACAAGTTGAAAAGGCAGAAGCTAAATAGTTCGAGTGATCTTGTAAGTGAGTGAAACTAGGAACAATGGGATAAGGGCGCTGGCCATAGCGTACAAAGGATTCAGTAGGTACAAGAACGAGATAAATAACAAGACCGAACAATGAAACATATGAGTCGTTGGGTTGAACCAATCAGAAGATGCGGATAACGAAACGCCATGGCTGCGGGCGTACTTGCTCAATTCCAACAACCAGTGATGTCTAATTGATAGCGTGCTTGTGCAGCAGCTCCTTCCTTGCTGATTGTTGCATGAGAGACAATGCGGTGTTCAGTAATGTGGGTCCTATTGCCTGCATTAACAATCCGAACAGTGCGAGAGAGGCCTCGACGAGTCCTTGAGGGTGGCATAAAGGTGAGAGGGAGGGAGTGAGGAGAAAGGAAAGCACCTGTTGAGAATGGTGAGCACGAAGGTTTGCGGACGTTGCCGACGATGAGCGCTGAACGTTCTCATTGCCGACCCTCCTGAGCTCCCTATCTCGTCTCTGTCACTTCATTATCAGTTCGCCACTCCCGAATCTGTCAAAACTGCTATGCAACTCTCGTCATTCTGTCAATACCACTAAATCCTTTTGTGCTCTCTTTCTTTTCTGTCTACTCTACCCTGTCAGGAGCGACACCACTCCCTTCAGCGTGCGTTTTAACCTAATCGTTTGGCCTATCCATACCCGGGGACCCTTAGCATTTCACAGTATAAAAGTAGCCCATGTACACTCACTACTGCAGGCAATCATACCAGTCTCCTGGTCTCAGTCTCGCACTCGTTATCTAAACCGCATTGCTATATCAATCATTTATTCATCTCAGACTCGTCTCGATCATTATCGCATAACATTCGTTAAACGCTAATCTAGTTCTACAGCATATCAGCATCACACTAGCGGTCTGCACACCCCTTCGAACTCGCAGCAAGAGCCTCAAGTTGCGCAATAGGTTCGATTTTTCGATTGATGATATTTATGACTAACTGATCATATGCTCCTTACTTCTCTGCTAATGTTTGTGCATGCCTGCACTTGTCTGCACTCCACCTCTGCGCTTGTTTGCGTGTTTTTACTTGTTTCTGCAAGCTCACCTTTCCGTCACACAGGACACGCAACTCGGTACCGGCAAAGACTATATATATGTATGCACTATGTATATACTTACTTGTATCTGCGCGCTCACTTGTTCCGCCATCGCAGACATTCAGCGCGTGGGCCGCGGCTTGCTTAGGCCCAAGCCCCGGCTTTCGGCCGGCTTGGGCTCACGGCTCAGGCTTGAATTCTGGCGAGCCTACTTTGAGCCCAAGCCGAGCCGGAACATCACTAAGCGCGGACATGATGATTCCGTTCATAACCTCGTGCGTCTCGTATTTAGGGTCTTCATCCATTTCGCAATGGTCATCCTTTTTGGCTTCTTTTTCTTTGCAGCGAAATTTTTTTAAGACAAGGAGCATCGTATTGTATACCTGACGCTTTTGTTATTGCCTGAGATAGGACGATGGGAGACAGGACTCACGAGTGTCATCAGATTACACGCAGTATTCTGCGCGAGGCACCCAGTTGATGTGCAGATTTCTTCGGTAAAAAAGCCTGCTATCCTGCCATCTTCTTTGTCATTCGCCAACCCTTCAATCGGGACAAACAATGCAGCCCAGAGCAGTTCCCTGAAGGCTTGCTGCTGTATAAACAGGGCGATGGCATATTGTATCTGGATGAAGAAAGGATTTGAAGTAAAGCATTATAGGTCTGAGCACCCAGCCAATGTCTGCAGAATCCATCTGATTTTGTCCTTTCACAGTTCCGTCGCATTGGAAATCAGTTCATAGTGCCGATCAATTTATTCCAATTACCACGAGACGTACTGCTGATCCAGTGTACCAGTGTTGGCCCAGAATCGACAACCGCATGGGCATGTTCATCCAACAATTAAATTATCACGCTGACTTGACTGAATGGTGGGACATTCAATATCTCACAGGCAAACCTTGATGCCCAACTACCTATATCACCAGCTCATACAATAGATTGTTTATTCCTACTTTATGTGCAGTGCCTTTGAAATCGTTTGGGCTGAACGATCTGCCATCTCATCATGATCACATTACATCAAAGAAGAGAGAAGAAAATCAACGAGCTAGAGAGCTCCTTGCACGCATACGTTCGCCAGCATAATATATCCAGATGGGAAATGGTATGCCGATGACGATAGCAAGACCTGCAAGAAGGGAGTTGCCTCCCCCTAACCAAGTACTGCGAACATTTGTTGTCCAAAGAGAGGGAATGCGAAGCCAAGCAGTGAACGGAGCGTCTAATAATGTATTCAGAAGGCGTCGACAAGATTTTGGGTAGGTGCAACTCACAGAAGCTGCTGCGGTTGCACTTGCAGCATAGGTAAATGTATCTACGAGGTATAGTTGAATAGGGACGCTTCAAACAGGTTAGCCGCGGACAATGGTCTGATACGGGGCACACCCACAAGGTTGCCATTAATCCGAACGAAAAGATAGCAGTACCGATGATGGGCATAATGAAGTTGATCTCGGCCTGCGCAGACCAGCCATACCAACTAAACGTAGGTTAGCGTAGGAGTAACAAACATAAAGTTCATGTATATCTCACAGTAGTCCCACTGGGGCGAACAACGAACCAAATATCAGAGTGGGTATGCGCATCTCTGGCTTACCAACTCCTCCGTTTTTTGCAGAAAGCTACATTACGATAAGAGGTGCACTTCAGCTAATGCGGCCCAAGTAGAGTCTTGACGTACGTGTGAGTATATCTTGTTAGAAAGTTTGGCGCCAAAGATGGCGGCGGATATGAATCCAACGCCAAGTCCAATGTATGCCAGACCTCCGATTCCGATACTGAAGTGGTATACTTCCGAAAAGAGAGCTGGACGCAAGTTTTTAATATTCGTTCCCGTGTTATCGGGTGAATATGATCTCACTTGGGAACGTGGCAAACATTAAGTAGTAGATACCTGAAAGGTGATTTTAGTCCACAGCATAACTTGATTTAAGATGCTAAGTATTCACCATAAATCCTAAACAGATGACATCAGTTAGCCGTGTGACATTACATAAAACTTACAGAGCCACGTATAAGCTGAGGATGAAGCATATAAAACTCCGGGTGAAAAGTATAACGGGTCGTTTGAGGTTGATCCACAAATAAACCCATTTATTCATGTGGGGTGCGGTGAGGTCAGGATGTATCCCAGCTGCCTTTTCGAGATCTCTTGTCGTTTTTTGACGACGAAGCCTGATTACTGGAGCATAAGATTCTCTTAAAAAAGGAATGCCGATCACTGCTGCGACACCACAGATCGCGGCGGCGACATAGAAATCATATTGTATGCCGACCGACTCTGCGATGAAGCCTCCCATGACGGGCCCAATGACAGGACCTAGCGAGATGAGTGTGAGCTTGCGTCAAGATTGCAGACCGTGAAACGCACCTATTAAGGGTCCGACATAGTATACTGACATCGCGGAGGCACGATCGTATTCGGAGAAGAGGTCGCTAACGACGCCTCCGCCGCATGCGATGGGTGCACTCCCCACGAAACCAGCTTCGCAGAGAATAAGTGAACTTGTGATAGTAATGGTTCCATAACGTACTTAGAAACCGAAAGGCGAGAAAAGATGAAGTATTGGGTGCAAAAGCACAGCCGAGATTAAACGCGAGGAATAAGAGGTTCGATAAGTGGAGGACCTTGAACTGATTCAGGCAGGCGGTTCCACTGGTCTTAAAGAAGAGGACGACGCACCCACACACGACCATATACTTCGGTCAAGGGTGCGGCAAATAAAGGGCCAATAGCGAATGACAAAAGAAAGATGCTGAGAGTCAACGCTGTGACTGTCGGATCTGTTATGCCATATTTTATGGCCAGGTCTGGCAAACTAGGTGCCATAATAGAACTTGCTATCGGAGTCACAAACGTGTAGAGCGCAAGCTGACAGGAAGTCAAAATTAGGCCTCCCGATTAGATATCCAATTCTGATGAAAGAACTGACGATTACAATGGCCGTCCATTTTTTGGCCGGAGTCCAATTCCTGGGGTTAGCTGGGTCGTCTTGCCATTCATCTTCTAACTGTTGAAGGTGGTCCGGAATGTTTTGCTCGAGGTTGTCGTCCGTGATTGCGGAGACACCGTGGAGCTGGGAAAGATGATGTTCGTCCACATCATCTTCATTTAGTACGCGAATATTGGAGCTCTCAACACATACCGTTTCTGGAGGAGAGGCCGACATTGAACAGCACTTTAGACAAGGAAAACCTGGATGAGAGGAAGACGAAACATGTCCCTGGACAGACTGTGAGTAATTAAATAGATAGAGAGTGATGACTGAGCAGGTATTACGACAGTACTAGTACTGCATAATTATACTTTGATGACCGGCGCAGTGATTGGAGTCATCGGACCAGGAATCCATCAAGCTAGTCCTCATTCCATTGGTTGCACGATTTGATGATAACACCAACTGTCATCGTGAACTTGTCAGGTCTGGTGTCACTGAGTGTTAAGAGTAAGTTATACGCAGTTAGCCGCTGCTGTTTGCAATGTCATTGCAAAGATGAGCTCACCGTCGCGCCTTATTGACTTTTCTCTGTTACCACCAACAGGTGCGCAATACTATTAGTATCCCCTAGGCAGACCTTTATAAATGAAGGAAGATGGCATAGTCGAATATTAATAGTACCACTTACAGGTACCTCAGGCTGAAACACAGCCAAATAAGAGTCCGCAACAGATGCTGCTTAAATTGGGGACACATTCGAAATCAATACCATAAAAGATCTGGCGGCCAGGTGTTACTAGTACTAAGTATCACGAGCAGCTACGCTCCGTCGGTGCCAGTGGCTTCAAACTCCGCGTGAGCTGACCTATTACCATGTGATAGACTTTGCCGTCCACCTTATTATATAGGCAGACCCTGGTCGCCTCAGAGACTTGGCAACAGCCCTATTTTCTAGAGACGTTCTCAAATGGGCGTGGTTCAGTGTTCTGAGCTGCCAAGACCGGAGATGTTTTTGTGTGGCATGGTTTATTGTGTCGGCGTTACTATACTTAGACTTTAGATAGTGTGAGGACGTCTGGTTTATGGGATTACCGGCGTTTGAAGACGGGGTTTGAACCGGCGATCATCTATTGCAAACCAGACGCTTATCATTTCAATCTCCGCGTGAAAGTAGATACTCGGTAGTTCACCTGATTTAATTGGACGTGACAGCTTGGCCTGAGGCCTGATGGCGGGTCTAATTCGACGCGCTTCTAGCTGTACGCACCCAAATGAATAAATAGTGGATAAAGGAGGGTCTTTAGCGCTGTAGAAGGTGCTGGGTAGGGTGTGTAAGGGTACCTATGGGGGGCTCGGCTATACCCGTCTCCGAGTGCCATATTTGGCACTGCAGCCATCCTACTAGTAATTAGGCTACATCAACGCACAAACCTTCGTGCTCGCTGTGCACGACGGCGAGCTCGATTTTCGTATTTAAGTAGCCAATGCAAATTGTAATTGATGTAATGTATACTGAGCGACAAAGGCCTGAGCAGCAAATGAATGGGGTGCTGAAGAATGATTAATGATTGGCGGACCGAGGACGCGACACAAGGCCTGAGCGCTGAGCAGTAAATGAATGGGGTGAGCGGCGGACGCAGACGCGACTGAGGAAGATAAAACATATTGGTGCGCATCAGCTGATGCAAAATTTCAAGCCCCGCATGATTTTGTCGAGCTGCCGCCGTTCTGCCACCGGTCAAAACGCCGTCCTGTCGAAAGACCAGACTTTCTGGAAAGAACTGCGCACTTTTGCCTCGGGACCAGTATAGGAATGACTAAACCAGTGGCAGTTCGCTTTGTGCACAACATCGTGATGTGTTTCATCCTACTCTGGTCCAGGTCAAAATCGTGCACTTCTACTACCTCTACCTTCCTCAACACAAACCCAGAGCACTCGTTAGCGTCCCAGCATTGAACGGAGGCGATGCTCTTTGTGGAGGTGGCGCTCGCACTAATTATCCGCTACACACCAAGCCCATGGTAGTGTGCCTGAGTGCCTCCCCGGCCTCCAATCAAACCTGTGCCTGTGAAGTACCAAATTTTCAACCCCCGAGTAGAGTTTAGTGAAAACGGCGATCAATAAGCGATAAAGATGTCCCCAATTTGGTGATCACACTGCGACCTGTAGTTGCGGTGGTACAACACATCTGTTCCAGTCATCGTGTGAAAAGCAGAGGAATAAGCTGTCGTATGCCAGATCCAGCTCGAGCTCGAGGCTCCATGCAATGACAATTGATGCTTAGATAAATTGCCAATGTATGGCGTCTCGAGCTGATACTACATAACAGTCTCGAAGACAATCAGGAACATGAGCAAACGGAGGAACTCACCTTTTCTCAGAAGCTGGGTCGCGTTAATCTTTCTTCTCTTTCCAGAATGCGTGATTCATCAACAGTGTATTGGGTTTGTTATGTAGAATCGGAGTGGGGTTACTTTAGTCTCATGCTGAGGACCTCGGCTCTTTGAGCCTCTTAGCACCGAGGAAGCAGACTTATTGGTGACAAGCTACCCCGGACCCAGCGGGCACTGAGGGGCGGGCGAGATGGAATGGTAGCAACACCTGCAACCTCAACCCAACTGGGCTTCGTCGGTTTAAAGAACAGGGCCGACATTCTCATCCCAAGCCACCACTAGGTCCCGACCTGGACAACGAAGACCACCGATGCCCTGAAGATGACGATGTCAGCGGCAGGCCAGAAGATGGAAGTGGAACGTACCCTTTCATCTCGCACACGAACTTACGAGCCGCGAGAGTATCGAGTTGACGTGAATCGGGGTGCCTAAGCCATGGTGCGGGTCAGTGCAACCAACTGAGGAGGTGCTGAGGAGGAACAGGGCTGAGAGAAGTCAGGCACTTGAGAGCCCGGGCGAATGTGACCAGCAGATGCGCGTGAAGAGGTTCAAGATGACCCAGGATCTGTCCCTGCGCCGTCCACGCTGCGAGCGATGTCCGTGAAGGTCAGCAGCTGAATTGTATCTTTTTTTTTTGGTTTGTTACGTCCTTAAATCGCGGGCCTTGATGCACGCTGGACGCTTCCATCAAAGCCTGGGCGTGGTCGATATCGGTCAGGAGGCAGGTAAGAAGGCGGTAAGAACAAGACATACCTGGCGTCCGGTGAGAGTTCCCTGTTGATAGACCTGGAGATCGAGACAATGTTGGTTTCCTGACAAATAGAGAGTACTAAGAACAAGAAATGCAGCGTGTGGCGTTGTGCGGGCGAGATGAAAGCAATGTTAGTGGCGCAAACGCGAGTCAGTATGTGGCGTTCAAGGAACGTTTACATAAGAGAAGTTGACTTTCGAGGGAGAATAGACTTAGGATTCGAACGAGGAGTGAACTGTCCGAACTAAAATGTATTCGGGGGGTAGAAAGATCAACTGTCCTACCAGTAAATCGACGTAGCGTTTAAATACTGTAGGACTGGCTTATGGAATGAAAGAGAAGTTAATCGAATAAATGTAGGAATGATGGAATAACTCCGACTCAGCTTCTGGGACCAACTTGAAAATCACATCCACGGTGCACCGCGGGAAGCACACATCCAGAGGCGATTCTTCAGAGCCATGCATTCAGGTAAAATTCTGATAACTGTATATGTATATAGCATGTACAATTATCAGTATCGACCGCCATGTGCATGATGGCTGGTATATCGACGCGGATATGCAAACAGGTGAATTGGAAATTATTCGACGCGGTCAGTGCTCATGATGTGAATCAACAAGCACAAACAACACATCGTCTTCAACAACCATGGCATACACCTTCCAGTCTCCATCAGTCACACTAGAAAAAGGCGCGTACCGGATGCGCGCACCATACAGCACGCGACCAGGTTCTTCCCTCAGCCAAAGCCCAATGAGTGCCAAACGAGCGCCATCCCATTACCAGAACAGAAAACTTGCGATTCTCATCGCCGTACTAGCTTTTGCATCAGTCACATGCTTTTTCTTCGCGTATCATTTATTCACCACCAGGTTCGCTCCCTATGCCCAACCCCACCCGCACCCCGCTGATGCCCTCCCAAAAGCAAACCCACCCGCGTCTGACACCAAATACCTCTCCTACTACCCCCACAGCGGATTACACAACCAACGCATCGCACTTGAGAATGCAATCGTACTCGCTCAACAACTTAATCGCACTCTTCTTGTTCCTTTTCTCCGTCTCGGAAAACCGATTCGATACGTTTCATTTGAAAAACTTCAACGGTTCCTCGTGCTTGGGTCTAAAACGGGGCTTGAACACTGTCCGCTTGTCCCTGCCAGCATACCAGCACCCGACGAGTGTTCAGGGTACGAAGAATGGACTTCCATCCCATGGGATCACCTCGTCAATCTCTACGCAATAGGAGAGAAAATCGGAGTAAAGATGATCCAGTGGGACGGAAGCCCAGTTGCACGATACCTGAAAAAATCTCATATAAATATTTTCGAAGCAGACATATTGACCCTCCAAGACTCCGGGCCTTACGATTTCCGATTTCTGGACACGCTTGATGATGTATCGCCTGCGCGGGACAAGTATCGTTATTCCATCTACATCCCAAAACTTGTGCAAGCACCCGAGAGATTACTGCAGATCGGGACGTTGTTTGGGTCGTCGAGGCTTAGGCTTAGGCAGGGCGTGAGTAAGAACGTGCGGAGAGATGTAAGGACCGGAATGGCGTTTACGAATCCACACCTGTCTCGTGTGGTCGATACGATATATGAAGCGTTAGGCGCTGTCTACATCGGTGCGCATCTTCGTGTCGGGGACGGTCAATTCGAACAACGAAGCACCGATAATGCAAGAACAATCTGGTGGAAACTCGTGCACCTTGTTTGTGGACTAGATCTTGAAGAGACTCTGGCGCTTGAACAGCAGCTCAGTCATTTCGACGAGGACCTCGATCCGCCGCTAATTCAACCGGATGTGGCGAGTCTCAGGGTTCCTCATCCGCCTTTGCCTCCTCTACCGCATACGTTTAAACCCAAGATTCGGTGTCGTGCACCTCTGCATACCTCACCACCATTGCAAAGACTGAACGCTCCTCTTTACATCGCCACTGACACCCCGAATCCTGTAGCAGACCCACTGTTTTCGATTTATCTTCAAACCTTCCCGTGTATATTCTTCCTTTCTGATTTTCCATCCCGTCTGACTCCCCTCGACGCATTGATCAATCCGTATGACCAGGTCCCATTGAAAGGGTTTTTGATACCGGTGCTGGACGCGATGGTGCTGGCTAGAGCGAGAGAGGTCGTTGTCACGGATGGAAGCACTTTTGGAGCGTTTGTGAAGGATGTGCTGTGGAGGCGGCACTGGGGATTTGAGATCGTGCAGAGGGGATGAGTGTATGCCGTACACAACTGATCGCTTTGCATGTAGCAATTATCCAGCCACGCGCTCCCTGGGGTACACCTCTTAGATATACCTTGCCCCAATGTACAAATCGTATCTCGCCTGAACCCAAAGTAACTTCGGATAACTCCTTGCTCCTTGTAGTCTTAGGAAAAAGAGATTTCAGTAACATAGCGCTACTGTTCTGAGCAATGAATGTATAATGTATGACGAGAAGGACAAGTCAATTTCTCTCAATCAGAAAGGGGGCCATAAATGTAGTATCTCGACACAAACCTCAGTCAGTCCACCCATCCACTACAACGACGAGACGTGCACTGCGCAGATCCGCCCATAGATCCTTCATCAAATGATGTGCAGAAATAAAATCCTGGGAACACAGATCGAATAAAGTCACGTCCTTACATGAAAAAGTCGTATATTACTCTCGTGCATTTTGGCGATGCTCATACAGTACAACGTTATTGATCATAGCGGTTCTGCAGCGGAAATGTACAATACTTGTGTAAAACGACACATCAGAACGCATCCAGCCACATGTAAATCCTTGAATGACTCACCATTATTCCCGCGAATAAACGCGTCCCCGTATCGATTTGTGACTACACCATTGACATGCTCCTCAGTCTGCTCTAAAGCGATGTTCATATATCCATCTAGACACGAAAGAACGCCTACACATAGCAAACAAACAAGCGTACATGAGTAAGCTTGGCTCTAGCAAGGAAAGGGAAAGGATACCTCGATAATCGACGCCTGATGTAAGACGCACGATGACCTTTTTCCCGACCACGCCTTTCAAGAAATCAGTTGGTGTTCCTGTTGGTGCTGATGGAGGTGGTGGGGGTGGGTATGCGTCGATATCTGGCGGTGGAGGCGTTGACTCGTCCATGATGAAAGTCAAGTCCAAGTCAAGTCAGGGATTTGGACTTGTTTGGTTTTCGCGCTGGTGGTGATAGTAGTTCTTAGAACCTTCTGATCCTAACAGCACCAAACACACTAGACGTCATGGATTCTTTGTGCCAGTACTTAATATAGTACTTCCGTTGCAAGGGAGTACCTCAATGACGTTCCAGGTCTTTTCTACAACTGAATATTATTCATCCACATTAATATAATTATAGAGATTGATTGTGCGAGGACCAGCTGTTGCAGCCTTGTCCATTGATGGGGTCATTGCTGGCCTGTTATAGAGGGATCTGAGTCTGATTCGGAGCTCGAGGATTGGAGCTCCATGATATCTGAATCAGTGTCCACGAATTCAGCGTTTTTAAATGCCTTCGCCATTGTGAGGAGCAGTAAAGATATAAAATTGCAATAAGTATTGAGATCTTGAGACGCGACCTAGTGTTATGTAACCCAAAACAGCAGATTTTTTCCAAGTCTTGCAAACGTAATTGATCAATACCTATCAATACTTTACATAAGGCTGAGTGCTGTACGTGAGTGCCATTAAGTTTTACAAACTGCTGTAAATGAATTTTCAATATTTTAAACCGCCAGACACGTGGGTCAAGGCTTTCCGAATAGCCTGAGAGTGTAAGCTCCAACTCCTGCATTCAGACGGCGTTCAACACATCCACCCTTCAACAAGTCAATATCACCATGTGCGATTTACCTATAATTCGGAAATGATGGACTTACATGCAATGACAGGACCAGCCAATTGGGACTAGAGACATATGACGTGCAAGTTTTTGGCATGTTCTAATAACCTCATGTCATGATTACTCGGTTCTGATAAATCCCAGACATCGATCTTCATCGCCTGCCCAGGATCGGGTTGTTTAATACGGAATCTCAATTCTACGTCGAAATATCCATTGATGATGCGAACACGCCCAGTCGTACAAGTCCGGAGAAACCCAGCGCTATGCCATGGAGTAGTAAATATATCTTGTATGGCGGAGACTACTGCCTGATTCAAAGGCTGATTCAAAGAGCAGCAATGTTCGCAACTCCACCACGCTCACATTGAAAGTATTTGCTCATCGCCAACTTCATCGTGATCAGTTCATTGGTATGGTCCGGGGCTGTGTCGAGGAATTTTTGAGGCGCCCTGGCGGTGAGTAACTGCATCCTTGTGTAATGTATTTTCTGACAGTTCATTCAGCCATTCTTGAACGGCTGAAATACGTAAATCCTCATGGCAAGGAAGAGCTGCTCAGAGCAAGTTTGGAGTTCAAGCTGACCCCCGTTGTGGGCGCTGGGAAACCTGCCGATGGATCCCAACGTGCCGGAACCGGTCACAGAGAAGGTATCCAGAAGGAGCCCATGGCGAGTCATGCCTATGGGGGTGCGAGCAAAACACCATTTCCCCCGGCAGTGCAGATCTTCGGTACGTGATATCAGTTAAAATGACGGTTACTCTTGATAATTTGCGACGTCAATTAGACATAGATGATGTCACTATCTCAGAAGTCCTTACTCCGCTCTTGGACAAGATCAACATTTTCGTTCAGCTTGCTGGCAGGTTCACTGAGGTACGGTCCCCTGACTTTGCCACTGAATATGTCTGATACCACACCACTAGGCCCATCCTTATACCAAAATGGCACTCATGACTCTCACTGCAGTATATCATGTAAGTGGGATGATCGCATGTTTAGACCTAAAGAACTCATCTGTTTTGATTAGTCGGTGGATGCACAATTTGCCCGAGACCGAAGTTTTAATCAGCTCATTACCATTATGCACGAAACCTACAGCCTTGTCTCTGGCGTAGAGGAACTGAAAAGGGTGGAATCGCAAGAAAAGACTATCAACACACTCGCTCGCCGGACGCTCGAGTGCTCGTACTTTATCCGTGACTACCAGAACAGGAGCGGATGTGAGTCTCGCAGCTTCTTACCAAAGCTTAGCTTCTTCAACAAAATTCCTGAATGTAGGGAAACGAAACTTTTCGAACGCGTTGTCCGAACTAGATGATAAAATCCTGGCGTACGAAGTGACCTTCAAAGAACTCAAGAACGCTATATATCAGCAGGCCACGATTAACACGGAACTCAACGTCTTTCGTGTTCATGACCTGTTGCTTGACCATGGTAGTGTTCCATCTTCCATCTCTCTTCCTCACATATGTTCATATTACTACTAGCCGCGAAAATAGACCTTGACGGCATGCACTATGCTGTTGGCGCTTCGATTGAATCACAAAAGATCAGAGATGCGCCCCCACGAATCGACATCCTGGAGTCAATAACTTCATGGATCAATCAAGACGATAAACAGCAGATTTACCTCTTGCTAGGTCCAAAGGGGTCTGGAAAATCCACTATCGCACATACCATTGCACGCCAATTCGACGCCATTGTGCGTCTTGGTTCGTCATACTGTTTTTCGTGCGCTGCCCAGGACAAGCGAAATGCTACGAATTTATTCAGCACGATTGCACGGGACCTTGCTGATCACGACCCTCAGTACATGAAGGCTCTCTGGGCCACCGTGAAAGACAAGCGCGCATTACGTGAAACGATAAACCCACTTGCTCAATTCAATTACTTTATCCTTATTCCTGCGAATCAGATGACATGGATCGGCCCTGTGCTGGTGGTCATCGACGGGTTGGAACAAAGCGGTAGCGAGTCAGATCGTAAAGACCTCCTGACTGCGCTCGCAGAGAAAGGAGCAGAGCTCCCCCGTAATTTCAAGTTACTAGTCACTTGCCGGCCAGAGGAGGACATTTGCACTGCTTTCGGAGGAAAATCTCATGTTATACAGAAGTATTTGAAACATCACGCCGACTCACACTTTGTTCCGCCACCAACATCAGGGCAAAACCAGCCAAGTAGACCCAGGTTTCGCCCTCCTACCCCTCCTACCCCTCCTCTGTCTATCCCTGAATTTACACGATACAACTCTTCACTTGGGGCTGACTCGTCGACTAGTGACCCCACTCCGATATCGGATATCTGGAGCAGGGACCAGCGACCGAAGCCCAGAGCAAAGCTGACAAGCGATGATGATGATGATCTACTCTGCGGACAGGCCCAAACCCATGCTACCATCACGCCTAGTAGCTGGAAAGGCCAATCTATCAGACTTGAAGGTCGGTCACTCCATATCGCCTGAGTGTTTCTGGTGGTCATTTCGGTCTACTTACAGTCATCAGCGGCAAAAATCTCAAAGTCCCTTCCGAGCGCATTCCCGCAGGCATCTACATATTCTTCAATGTTGAACAGAGGGGACGCTGGAAATCAACCATCGGAATCCCATCATCAGACGAATCTATGACGTGGGGCGAGACCGTGACCCTGTAAAGTCTACTGCGACTTTCGGATGCGACTCGATGACTGATTTTCCGTTTGTAGATCATTACGCAAGTCATCCAAATTATCACTGGAGATCAGGGCTTCCTTCGAGCTCGATCGCATGCTGGGCAATGGAGAAGTTGTCGGAAAACTTGAAACTTTATGGGATGCGCTGCTAGATCATGGAAACGAGCCTTTCGGTGAGTGACCTCCTTCCCACTCATGCGCATATACTCACATCTCGTAGACATGTCCTTCCCGTCCGTTCGTGGTGTTCACCCTTCTCTCACGCTAAAGGCCACAGTTCTACATGATTGCGACCATCAGGACAGCGCACTGCTTGACGTGAGTGACGTCAGCCGCTGTGTTGTTGGCTTTTATTGACGGAACACCTGCTGTAGTCCATCGTTGAATGTCAGGTTGCTCAAGACACGGATGCGGGCCATGAACGACTTGCCACATATGTGACAAGCAAGACGGTCTCTCACCTGAACGATGCTGTAAAGCATTTTCAGTTGGTCCTGGATCAATGTCCGGTCGGCCATCCTGATCGGGCAGCGGCTCTCACCAACCTCACGTGGGCCCGCCTTGAAGGCTACATTCAAAGTGTTTTTCAAGATATCGATTCTATCACTTCTCTCTTCCGTGAAGCCCTTGCGTTGCGTCTGCCGGGCCACCCCGATCACCCGTTATCCATCTATCACCTCCTTAAAGCGTTGATCTGGAGCTACGAGAAGGAGAACTCCACCGCTATCTATATTCAGGAATGCGCGCAACTGTCCTCTAAGCTATTTTCCCTCTGTCCAGAGGGCACCTACCTTCGTAGCATCGCGGCAGGGGCAAATGGTGTCGATTATGTGATCTGCGAATGCAACAATCTCCCAAAAGATGCATCTGATGAAGGCATCCACCTTCGACGAGTCATACTCGAGCTCTGTCCTCTGGGCAACGCACACCGTCCGAAAGCACTCAACAAGCTTGCGCAGGCAGTTGAAGCACGCTTTCAACAGCGCGGCACGATTGATGATCTAGCAGAGAGCATACAACATAAGCGTGAAGCCGTTTCTCTGTGTCCTGAGGGACATTTTGAACGCGAGACCTACCTGAATAACTTGGCCTACTCACTGCGATTCCGCTTTGATCACCAAGGCAACTCAGATGACATCGATGAGGCCATCTCTTTGTTCGAAGAAGCGCTGCGCCTGCGCCCTGTTGGGCACAAATATCGTAATTCCTCATTGGACAACCTAGGATCTGCCCTCCACACCCGTTTCAACCAACGTGGTGATGTTGACGACATCATCAGATCCATCAGCCTCCAGCGCGAGGCACTGACGTTGCGCCCGCCCGGGAATCCATGTCGTTATTCCACGCTTAACAACCTTGCGCTCGCGCTCAAAATCAGATATGTCAAATTGGATGCCAGCGAGAATCTCGACGAGGCCATCAACCTCCACCGGGATTCACTTCAATTAACGCCACAGGGTCATCCACGTCGCCATCAAGCTCTTTGCAATTTGAGCTCGGCACTCCATTCTCGTTTCACGCAAACTCGGAAGAATGAAGATATCGAAGAGGCCATTCGACTCTGCCAAGAGTCGTTGGAGGCTTTGCCTTCACTGCACCCAGATAGATATTTCAGCTACATGTGGTTGCAGGAAGCCTATTTGTCTCGTTTCAGGGTGCAACGCAGCTCTGCTGATTTATCACTTGCCGTAGAGAACTTCAGGCTGGCATCACGACATCCTACTCAAGGTTTCCCAGAACGCATCAAAGAGACGATCAATTGGACTTTTGCAGCGGAGAGTCACAGTCACACCTCTGCACTAGAAGCCTACAAAACGTTTTTCGAACTTCTTGACAGACATTTGGCAACACGGTCTTCGATTGTTGCACGGCGCGAAGCTGCTTCTGCTTTTCGTCCTGCTAGAACATTGCCTGTGGATGCGGCATCATGTGCCATGCGCCTTGAAAATCTACGAGACGCAATCGAACTTGTTGAGCAGGGTCGCGGCCAGCAATGGTCATTGGCCTCTCGCCTGAGAAGTCCACTTGAAGACCTCGAGTCGACAAATGTCAACCTTGCTCACAAGTTCTCGGAACTCAGCAAGCGTCTTTCTGATGCTCAAAGTTCCGCGGTCAACACAGACCGTGCTGCTACTGATCGAGCAGCGATACGTTACAGGAGACTTCAGGAGCAGTGGGGAGCAGTGGTAACTGAGATTCGTAATCTTAAAGGCTTCTCGCGGTTCCTGCTCCCCCCGTCGTATGATGACTTGCAAGCAGCAGCACGTCATGGCCCAGTCATCATACTCATTGCGAGTCAATACTCGTGCAACGCCATCGTTGTCCCGACGTCAGGAGAGCCCCATCACGTTCAATTCCCGCGCATCACCCTCGCACATCTGGAGAAACTCAAGAATGACTTTGCCAGGGAGATACGACATGCATCTTTTATGCGCCCAAAGGAGACGAGAAAGGAATTGCAAGTCCTTTTGCGGACAGTATGGGACGAGATCATGCTCCCCATCGTCATCGTCCTCCAGCGTGATCTCAGAGTAACGAACGGCTCTCGAATCTGGCTGTGTCCAACTGCAACATTCACTTCCATTCCTCTCCATGCAGCTCACCCCTTTCGAACGAAGGCAGATGGACGGCGTGAACTATGCCTGGAGGACGTCTACATCTGTTCCTACACGCCGACACTTTCAGCTCTGATCAGATCTAGGCAGATGATGAAGAAACGTGCGACTCCGTCTTTCGTTGCAATCGGACAAAGTTCACCGGGTGCGGGGCAAGGCGAGGCGCTCTCGGCTGTTGACAGTGAGCTTGAGCTCGTCCGCAACCTCGTCCCCACGACGGTCAATCCCACCACTCTCTCCGGTGACAACGCCACGCAAGCAGGTGCACTAGATGCTTTGCAACACAACACCTGGGTGCATCTCGCCTGTCATGGAAAGCAGGACCGCGAGCAGCCTTATAACTCACGTTTCGCCATGGGAGACAAACCTCTGACGCTGCTCGACATCATGGAGAAAGACATTCCTCACGCTGAGTTCGCATTCTTGTCGGCATGTCACACCGCTGTTGGCGATGAGAAGACACCCGATGAAGTCATCCACCTCGCAGCTGGACTCCAATTTTCAGGGTTCAAGAGCGTCATTGGCACGCTATGGGTGGTCGACGACGCTGTCGCGAAACATGTTGTCGAAGCATTCTACAAGAACATGGTCAAGGATTTGAAGGATGGTGATGTGATGGACTGCACGAAGGCGGCCTGGGCACTCAACCGTGCTACAAACGCTGTGAAGACGAAAGTGCCGCTCGAGCAGAGGATGGTTTTCATTCATATTGGTGTGTAGTTTCAGGTTCTATGTTATGTTATATTACTTTCGTATGGTATAGGTTTTCGAGTTGTTGATTTTCGATCCTGTTTTATCCCAGTCGCCGTAGCAGCATGTTATTTCACATTCCCTCACATGATACCATTTACTCAAGTTGTTGGTCTCGTATTCCCGGCGTTGTCACTGCTAGTACCTGTCACGTTGTCCTGTTGTTTCAATACCACTTGTGTCTTTCATTCAATGCTTGCGCGTTTATAAACATGAGTATGTCCTTCGGACCATTGGAGCCAGCGCACCGAGGAGTGTAGGACTGCATGTTGAAATAGCTGTTTATTGATCTCTGGTGCGAATATGGATCAAAAGCAAGAAACGCCAACCGTTCCAGAATTTTGGCCAGCGAGCGAATCATGCTCATAAGGATGAATTTCTTCTGTACAGGCAAGACCTGAGCGTAAGACGAAGAATTTTGATTTGAACGATGATGCATATTCTGCTGCTTGGAGACACGAGCACTGAGCTATCGGTCTGCCGGCAGCCGACATGATACCCACTGCCCAGGTATAACCAGATTTTTTTTTTCCTTGTATTTAAAAAAACAAAGCTGGCAAAGGTACACGGAGTCCCTACCTTAGTATGGGTATGGTCACACCATGTAACGGAGCGCGGTCCTGTCTTCCATACGTATCGGCCTGATTCTTGTCAATTTTCACTAGAATTGATCGTCTCATACATCAAATTCACATTCAGGGATTATTGATATAAATGTCACCAAAAATGCATGCCGCTACAATATCTCTAGCGTCTTGACCAAGTCCGGAATAGAAGAAAGGTCTTTGACTTGTGCAATAATATCATGATCTGATGCAATTCTCTTGTATTCTCCGCCGCGCTGATGCGCCAGCAAAAATGCGCTAAAAGGCTGCACAAGGTGGGCAGCCAATCGCAACGCTCGATCGCTCAGTTCCGGAACAACCGACTCCTGTGCTTCAAGGAACTCGTCAGGCGAATCCTGTAAAGGAGACCCAGGCGCAGACCAATAACCTTCTTCGCTCTGCGTGTCGTCTGCAACGTCAGATAGCTCTGTCAAGCTAGACTGCTTCACGAAGTCAGGAAGCTCGAGGAGATATCGATTCCACGGACGAACAAGCAAGAATGTCTGCAAGGTGGGTCGTGGTGATGAGAACTGAATCAGCTTGTCCGTCGTGGTGATCAGCAGGTCATGAAGTCCATCGGCCTTGACTTCATATATCTCCTGGTCTTGATTGCGACTCCGTCTGACCGCTGTAACATAAAATGGGATGCAAGGCAGATGCAGTCTGCAGTTCCCGAAACGAGGCGCGCTCAGGTTGTCAAGCAGGGCGTAAAGTTTCAGAACCAAATCTAAAGCCACGACATGTCGGAGCGAGGATATCGACGTTTGAATGTCATCTTCGGACAGAGATGATGGGGTGTATGGTGGAGCTTTATATGACGTAATGTCGACCGGCAGACAGCTATTGAATTCGGATGATTGCCCCACCCAGTTCAGGGCACTGATGTCGCCCGACTGAGCTACGACCTCTTGCAAGAGCCTGCCAAGCGCCTTTTGCTTCTTCTCGCCATAAATGACAGGCAGGTTGACGCCGAAGATACCAAACAATGAGTATGCAATATCTTCCTGCCACGTGGTGACACGGGCAGATACCCACTGGAGTTTCTCCCGTGCGTCTCTCGTCCCCGGATGGAAGGCGACGAGGTCCTGCGCATCTATGCCCGTCGCATCTCCCATCTCCCGCATGATTGCAAGGGAGTCCTTGTGGTTGGGAGAACGATCGCCGAGATATAGGGACCAATCCTTCTGATAAAACAGGACAAATTTTGGGGCCAGGAATTCTTGAACTGTCCATCCTCGCGTGTTCCAAGTGCTTCTTGCGAGTGCCCCAGACTGCGACGAAGGTGGAACATCCGACAAGTAGATCATGGTAAGTGCTGAGTGGCGATACCAGACAAACATGGAGTTGACCGATTGTTGGACCTCGACATTGTTAGTCTGGTCGATGCAGCAGGTGTCAATCCATGTCCAGCGATACCCCATATCACGAGCAGTTTTACAGAATGACTGCAACTTTGGGATGCCACCGACTGGATCCAAGTAGTACACCACCTTGCCCTGGATGTCATGCAGCGACGGCTCCTTCTCTTCCCACCTATGCGATAGCATGACATAACGGAAGTACACCGCCACCACGTCTTGGATGCGCTCTATTTGAAGGTCTGCATGCTTTATTGTGGATGACAAAAGTTCTTTGTACTCTGCGCTCGCTTTGAAGGCATTGATCTGTGCCTCGCGATTACATAAGCGCCCAGTAAAGGTGTTGATTAAACGATGCGGGACGTCGTCGAGTTGAGCTTTGATGGTCTCATGAATGGCTCGTTCTGCTTCGGATGGACTAACATACTGTTGGTACAAGTCTGTATAAAGAGTCAACAGTGCTTAAAGACGTGCTGTTCGAGGCGTACTTTTTGTTTTCGTGTCGGGAGCATTTTCCAACTTGGAGAGCATGATTGTGAACGCCCCGATGGCTTCATCATATCGCTGTGCGCCATGAAGTGCCGCATGCTTCAACTGATATCCAAAGTAAGATGAGCGGTTGAGTTCGATCACCTGCATGTCACCAAAATGAGCGTCGAATACGAAACGGTAACTGTCATCGCACCTTTTCAGCGTCAAGGAGTGCATCGTCCCATAGCATTTTTCCCAACCTCGCCTCACTGCGGTTCGCAAAGACAACATCGGTTGCCAGATCAAGGTCAATCGCCGCAGAGTAAAACTCGATAGCCCTGTCGTAATTACCCGAAGCGAGGGCAGTATCCCCGCCCGCAGCGAGGTCAGTCACGCCGGCAGCAGCATATAACACGCTGCAATCTTGCTTGAAAGCTAAGTGAAATGGGATTGAGAATTATACCCGGTTGATATCACGAAGACTTGCCAGTGGACCAATCAAAGCAGCGTGCTTTCATAACTTCATCAGCCCTGTCCATCATATATCGGTATGCTTGCATGGCTTCTGGAAGTCTGCCTGCCCGAAGGAGCGCATGGCACCAATTCTGGTGTGCAGTCCGCCACAAGGACTTGAGATCCCACCCGAATAGCTGCGCAAGCACTCAGCTCGACGTGAAATAAAAATATTGCATCCCAATCAACGGACCACCACAAAGATATCATATTTAGAATGAATAGCCGACACAGACGAGAAACCGATAGTGTTGACAGCAGCAGCGAAGTAGCCAGCAGCTTCGTTGTGACGTGCGGCGTCCAATGCATGCATTCCCATTTGGACGTGTAGATAAGCCTGAAGTGCGAGGTTCGCAAAATCAGTATCGACACATGAATCTGGTCTTGACTGTGTCAGGAGCACTCACTTCTACGATACCACAGGCAAGAGACATCGCATTGGGACGAGTAGTAGCTAGCTCTTGAACTCGCATAATTGCCTCGTCATATTGATCTGCATTGAAAAGGGCGATGGCCTGACAGCTGTCGTGTAAGTAGCAAGTGCATGAGACATAATTGACGTACCTTAATCAAGAGTAGAAAACGAGTTTTATTCAAGTCTGCGTCCACGTACATGAACGCGAGGTCAAATGCTTTCATCGCGTCTTGGAACTGTCGTTTTCCACAGTGGGCGATGCCCTTGGAGATACAGCCCATCAAGGATGGCTGAATGCTGATGCTCTATATCACCACATAAGTTAGTCTGTGTTACAAAGGTCCCGACTAAATGGTGCATCTCACTTCGAGCACGTCATCAAGTGCGCAGTCCCAGTCTGAATTTCTTGCCTTTACAAACGAGCGGTTCGCGTAAGAGTTGTAGTCGTTGCCATCTGCGCCGATATCTTGTGTTAACAGCCTGTCAGCAGTAGTCAAGTCCCCGCTTATGCAGGCATCGCGGGCTGTCGTGTTGATGGTGAGGATCTGCATCACACATGGTTAGATTACGTGGTAGGAGTGGAGGCTAGAAACATGTTTCGCCTTGAGCCTTGACATCAAGCTCAAGGATCGATATGCAAGGAGACGGAAAATAAACAGAATCTTACATTTGATGTCTGGTCCTCGAGAATGTCCTCTAGTATAGGTACTGGCCATTTTGAGATCATGCTATCAGATCCTGCACTCAGTATGTGCTTGCCATCCGCGGAGAAGGTGACACAATACGCCGCACCGGGGTGCTTGAATATGGCGATGGTTCGTCGATCTGAAAGCCGCCAAAGGCGAACCTGGTTGTCATCTGATGCGGACGCGAGAAGGGTGCCGGTAGGGTTCAAGGCAATCACGAAGATATGGTTGGTATGGCCTTTCCAGGGCTCACCAACCTGCTTCCCGGTCGATGAATCCCAGATTCGTATGGTGGGATCACCCAAAATAGCAGCCGATACAAGCTGTTTGCCATCGGGCGTCCATGCGACTGTAAAATTCCATGCTCCATTGAACGCAGAGTGACCCTGGAACTTTGAGATGCATTCCCTCTTGCCCAGATTCCATATTTGGATATCTTTGTTTGTTGCGATGGCAATATGTTCACCAGACGGCGAATACCGAATGCAGAGGATTTCACCGCCATGCCCACCATTGATTAGATCTCCTTGCACCTGCCATGTTTGTGTATTCCAGAGCTTCGCTGTGGTGTCCGTTGAGCTACTCGCCAGCGATGTGCTGTCTGGGGAAAAATCGAGCGAGTAGATCCGTTTGGAGTGGGCTTTGATGGGTTTGGTGAGAGACTCGCCGTCTCTGTTCCAGGCGATGAGCTCTCCATCATCATCACCGCTTGCTATGAATTGCCCGTCCCTTGATACTACAACTCCTTTTATTACGTTGCGATGCCCCTCCATTATCTTCAATGTAGCACCGTCTTCTAAGTCCCACAGACGAATCGTTGTGTCGGACGAGGACGTTACCATACGATGTCCATCGGGGAAGACTGCGGCCGCCCAGATATGATCTTTGTGGCCTTCAAATGTTCGAGTAGCCGTGATGATTCGAATGGCGGACTGTTCTGCTTCCGTCATTCTGCTCGAGGTAGATGGTGTTGAGCAAAACGTGCTGGAGAGCTTGTGGATGTCTTGATCTAAGTTTCAGAGGTGCGTGTACTGGGCCTTTTGGTACTTCTTCACAGCCTCAACCTGCTTCTGTATTTATCATTAGACGCCCAAAACACGAGGCCTGAGGCCTGAAACCTATATTTATGTAATCTGCAACCATTACGGTCACTATTTGAAATCGGCGCCAGGGCCAGCCTCGTTCTCAGTTCATCTAATAGCTACTTCACCATGTCCATCCCTCCATTCGGCTCTACCGCCTACTCCATCATGGACGTACGGTCAGAGAATCGACTCCGCTCTGCTGGAAAAGACTGGGTCGCAGGCGAATCTGCAGGGTGGAAAGTCTATATATCACACAGCAGAAACAGACGAGGCGTACTGCGTGCTCCTCGACCTGTTGTTCAGCCGCAATCGTGATCACGATCTACACCGATATCTACAAGCTCTCGATTTAAGGCGTCGTATTATCGTATTCGTGTCCACGATCAGCGATGAGGGCGTAAAGAACCTGGCACCGTTCAGGTAAGACGCACACTCGTTATCTAACGCGTTTTACATGCTTACCTGGCTTGCATCCATCAGTTAGTTGAACACGGTGAGTAATACACCAAAGACAAACCTTTTCCCGCAGGTCTCGAACTACCATCTCATTCGCATGCAACCACAGCGCTCCGGGCCGCCTCAAAGACACAATTGCGAACTTGAAGAACAGCCAAGGATTCACCGGGAGCATCATCAGCAAGCCATTCGTCAAGAATGCAAATGCGACTGCTATATACGTCTGTGCACGTGGATGTGTTTGATGTGCGCTAGAATGAGCGTGCTGTTGTGCTCGCCTGTGACTGGGTGGGTGATATTTATGGATTTGTAGAGCTGTTAGAAGGCGGTGATAATATCATGATGATTAGTGAGCGGGCTCGGCATGAAATGAAATGACCTCACACTCCGTGCTAAAAGCACTTTCCTTGACGCGGGAGGCTATTATTCGCACCTGATCATCTAGTAGTTGGCGCATATATCGTATCACAAAGGTGCGCGCATACACATTGTTCCTCTGTCTGATAGCCCACTCGTCGAAATCGGAAGGATAGACCTACAACAACAATCAGTCCTAATGAAAGGCGTGATGGTGATCTAATTAATCTGGTCTGTCCCGTCCTCCCTGTTTGCTCTCACCATCTCTGTGTCGATCGCGATCGTCACAGTCCCAGACGTTGTCACGGCGTTTATCAATATAGCGTTCTCGGTCCCTTCGGTCCAAGTCCCTGTCACTGTCCTTTCTACTGCCGTCTCTTCTCCTCCTGTCATCTCGCCGGTTTCTGTCTCTTCGATCTTTACGGTCGTGTTCTCGTCGCGCCTATCACGATCTCTTTCTCTCCTAGGGTCATGGACATCATCCCTCCTTCTATCCCTCCTCCTCTCACGATCACCATCATTCCTACTGCTCTCCCCTTCGCTCCTTCTCTCAGGTGACCACGAGGCCCTCCTCGAAACAGTTAAACTCCAATTCCTGCTTTCCTCCCTACTGCTCACCTGTCTCACAAGCGGGATATAACGCTTCTCGTCCCCTCGCCGTTTCTTCTTCTTACTGCCGTCATCCAGCACCTCCTGCTCCTTTGCTCCAATACCCAAGAGTGCAGGGCGTGATTTAGGTAGGTAAGGCTCCACCAGCGCATTCTTTTTCGCTCTTTCTGAGCTTGTAACAGCCCCACCGTCCACCCAACCCATGCCGCGGAGCATAGCGGCTCCGAACGCAGTGATGGGCACACGCTCCTAGTCATCGATAGTAGCAACATCTACTTTCGCATATTCTTCTACTGTCATACTTGTCTCTTCGTCAATCGACGTCGTGCTTGTGTCGATTTTGACTTTCTTGTCGCCGAACTGGATACCTGAGAGTTGGGGGCCGGAGTTGATGGTATCGCGCGTTCCAAGCCCTCCGACGCTGCCGTCTGCACCTGTACTCGCTTTCGCGGAGTCAGGAATGAATCGTGCAGCACCTGCACGACGTTTCAATGCCGCCTCCCGCCAGTCAGGATTTGGCTTCGAAAGAATAACAAGAGGGCATGTAGGAGCTTTGGTCTTGGGCTTTTTCCACCTACACTACATGATATAAGTAGTATGTGGGCCTTTTGTGAGCTGTAGAAATGTTGGAAAGAGACGCACCGTTGTGCACTGAACTTTTTGAAAGAAGTGATAAACTCGTTCTCTAGACGACCGTCTTCATCACCGCTAGGGTCTGGCTCATATTTACGCCCACGCATTAGAAAACACGATCCCGCTTTTCTGCTCGTCGTCGGAATCCCCCCGAGAACTGAAAGTACGAGGAGAACCTGTGAGTGGGGTGCCAGAAGCAGAGCTTACGGCACTGAAGAGGTGACGAGGGAGCGCCGAGTTTGAGTTTGTCGCTGGCCCTGTCCTCGTCGGCTGCTAGGGGTTTGTGGACAGTGAATGACAGTTTGGACATCATCGTGCAAGATACAGCAATCATTGACCTTGGATTGTGAGGCTACTTATGTAGGGTATATCGACTGCATTGATATTTCTGTGGACAGCACTCTTCTCGCGAGCAGGGCAGGATGTTCGATATGGAGCTTGGACACTGGCAAACTCGTATTTGAAATACTTGATGATACGCACTGCAGTGGTGTGGGTGTTGAAACGCAGTTTGAAATTGATTTGCTTGCGGCCCGACCCCGGGCCTGGCCTGCAGTGGCTCCAAGCTTTGGACCTTCGAGCTCCGGGTCCTTTAGTAGCATTTTGCCTATACAACAAGAAGAGCCCAGTGTATGCATTTCATACACACAGGTCTGTCTATAGTGATTATACACGCAAATTGGACTAAGTCCCTACATGACAGCCAATGAGGTCAGTTCAGTCTCTCCCGATCAAGAGCAGAGATTCGTCAGCAAGATATCCTTCCACAGAGAACGTAACTCCCTCCTTTGCAAGCATCTCCATCTTTCTATTGCACTGCAACCCAGTATTCTTCTGTCCACCCCTTGCGTTTGCGCCAGTGCCCCACTCACCGAAGAATCCACCAATGTACAGATTTGACGCGATGATGCGGTGGCAAGGCACGAACGGTGCAAATGGATTGTTTCGAAGCGCAGAACCAACTAATAAATGAGGTTAAGAGAAGAGACGAAGGGATTGCGTTTTGGACGCGCACCTGATCGCGGTGAACCTTGCCCGAGGGCGACGCAGATGTCTTTGTACGTCGTGACACGACCACAAGGAATTGTTCTAGTGAAATCGTATACTGCCCACTGATGCGGAGTGACGCGCTGGGAGAACCATGGAGTAAGGAATGATGGGCAGGCTCAATGCATGTTGCTTGCCTTGCCGTCGTGCGTCTTGAAAGTGTTCCGATCTTTTTCACTCAAGGGGTAATTCATCTTGCCTGTGAAGATAGTTCAATGAAAGTCGTCTGACATGGGTCATGACTCATGGAGTCCGGGCTTACAGTCTGCCAGGTCCTGCATTTCCTCCACGACTAGTATGGAATCCCTTGTGGTTGCTGTCTTATGTTCATCAATGGCAGCCTTCGTTGAACGCGACTGTGTCCTGATGGCAGGCATTATTCAGCAGAGAAAAAAAACTGTGCTATCGGGATGTGATACAAGAACGAGCGTAAGCGCTTGAGCTCTCGTGACAGGGGCAAACACGATAGTCTCACGCGTGACTTTAATTCAGGGCCGGCAAGATGGTGCAACTCAACTCTGCCCGCGACATTTCATGGTATAGAAGGGAAGGAAGTATGTATCTATGGCGTGTCCCTAAAGCCCATCAGGTACTGCATAATCTGGAAGGCGGCCTGAAATCATTGGTTTCTGTTAGACCGCACCTGCACATCAGCGACATCAACTTACTACTGGCGCAAACTGCGGAATCCTACAGAACATTAGAAACGAGACCCTGGGTATTCAATATTGCAGTGAACTCACATGTGTCCACTCAAAGCTACTTCGTAATAAGTGAGTCCCCGCTCTGAGTGCATCGTCCCATAGGCACCCACGCCATCGACAATGAAGCTGTCGTCAGCGATAGGCGTCTGGAAGCCCTGCAAACCATCCCCTTAGAATACAATGAGTGATTAGTAGCGTACATCAAACACTACCAGTCACGTACAGGTCATGCTACAGATGATTCATGTCAACTGATAAATGTCACGGTCAAGAACGCACTTACTTTTGAATGGCAATTCTGGTTCTAAATCATCAGATCATGCGTCAGAATATATGAAGATTAAGGATCGAAAACAAAGTCATACCCATTGGCAATGAGGATGAAGTCTGCGAGACCGTGCACAATGACGGTCCGCTGGTTCTTCTCGATGACACTCGGTAACACAGTGAAGGCAGGAGGCAAGCTGCTGTCTCCGTTGGGGAAGACATTGATATTGGAGCATTCCGACCACTCGGTGTCAACGGGCGCATGGATAGCTTCCTTTACATCCATTCGATTAAAGTAGATCGGAGACTGCGTCTGTGGGAATGAACCTCTAGGTCTTCGTCAGCTTAGTTGCATTGAATCAATAATTGGATGGCCTACGGGAAACCTAAGACATCCCACAAAATCGGATACTTGCACGAATAATAAGTCAATATAGTACTTATGAAAAGCCTCTTCGGCTCACTGTGTCCCAGATGCGATAGATATCGAAAGCGGGGTTGATAATCAGTGCACTATAAAAAATGTCGTCCCAGACATCGCAGCCCTCGGCAAACTCGATGGAGTCTCCTGGCAGGGGAAGAAGACCTGCTGGAGGGTATGTGACATACTTATCCATGTAGCCAGTATAATTGCACGTCGCGGCCTTGTTCTCGAGGTAGTTCATGAACGTCTGACTGGATCCTATTGGTGAGTAACCTGCAAACTAGGTCCGAGTGAAATGAACAGACTTAAAAGAAAAGAGACCAGCGTATTTGTTCACGAAATCCACTGCAGGGATCTCCTCTTGCACTACGTCCCACGAGATCGAGGCTGAGCTTCACGTATAAGCCCTTGAGAAAAGATAGAGCAAGTCAAGATATTACTTACGATCACTGATCCATGTTCCCTGCAACGAGAGATCTAACAGAGTGGGGTTCTCGTAGATATAGTTTGCGATATCTTCATCGGTCATTAAGTCACGTCCAAAGAAAATGACTTCTAACTCACAAGGCACGTATGTTCCAGCGTACTGAATAAGTCAATATGATGTTTTACCAGACTCTCCGAGAACTTACACTTTCACCCGTTAGATACAGCTTTTTGCCTTTGAGTTCCGAAAAAACCTCAAGGAACTGCTGCATGAAACCGACGAGTTGAGTAGCCACATCGTCCTCGTTCTGTGCGTTTGGGATGCCTTGGGAAAATCCGGTACCAACAGGTTGCTCCACCCAAAGGACGGAGGAGAGGTTGGTCCAGCTTTGTTGATTCACCGTTGCTTTGGCCTGACCCCAGGCCCAACTGAAAGGCTTCAAACTTTGTTAAATGAGTCTTGCTATCAAAAAGAGACTTACTCCATTCTCCTGCAGCAAACCTTCGAGGGAGGAACAGCCAGGGCCACCGTTCGTCCTTCAGGTAGAACAGGTCAGGTCAGCAGCGAAGAGCACATCGCTTCTGATAACGCACCAAAAAATTAAATCATCAAGACTTCCTTCTGGGCCGGGAGGAAAAAAACCAGAAATAGAGCTGATGTCCTTGATGTAAGCAAAGGACGTGCATAAACTACTCATGTACATACCTGACGCGTCTCATTGGGACTGTTGCTGATGGGTAGAAGACCTGCCCAGCTAGGACCGACATCGAAGTCAACGAGAGGAAGGGATGTGCCATCGACGTAAAATTCTGGACGAAGACGGATCAGACGTATTAGATTTCTACTCGTAGCACTTCAATTCACCTGAGGCCTTTGGATTCGTGAATGTGATATTCTGAACACCACTGCGCTTTACGTTGTGAGGGCCGCTAGTCTGCCAACGCTTTGCTGCCTCAAGTTGGTGTTCACGTATCTCGTTCTTGGTCATCCTATGAGCGCTGGTGGTGACCACTGCGAGCAGAGCCGCAAATACAGCGAGAGGACGCATCACCGTCGAGCAAACCAAGACTTTGAGGGGGAAATAGCGAGCCGCTTGATATCGTACATCGGGTTTTTATTTGGGATGGGTATTTCTGTACTGACGGGAGCGAACAATTAGATAATTATGTAAACACGTTTGAAACACATACTGAGTGATGATCATGGCGGCACCATGCGTTCTTTGTCGTGCAGCCATACGGTGGCCGCATCGGATAAGCAACTTGTGCCGGGATAATCATAGTAATTTGTACCTGATTCATCATTCCTTTACTCACGATATTTGCTAGTTGTTGGCCACGATGACTTCAAGTTGGGATGCTGGGCAACTCACGCATGCCAGTGAGTTGCTGCGCTAGTGCTTAGAGTCAAGTGCTGTTTGTTGTTCCTTTTTCAAGATTTTCAAGAGTTGCAGACCCAGTGTGAAAGCATCCACGGATCGCTTTGCAGATTGAGCTGTCAAGCGCATGCACACGAGTGCCACAGGTTCGATTTATACCTCCTGACCTACCCGACATCATGCATCGTGACTCATACTAGTAGTGTCACCTGCTCAAGATCCACCTTCATGGAGTGTGACCGAATGGCCCTCAGAGTCGGAGTTAGGGAACGATGCCACGATACCCAAGTTATCCAGATTCGCTCCCGTTGTTTCCAAGGGCGAGAAGTTTCTGTTAGAACAGCAATCGAGGCGATGCGCAAATCGGAGCAAGGGAAGGTGAAACAGACGGGATTCATCTGGCTCCGAGAAGCACCTTAGCTGCAGACCGGTGGTCATACCTTCATAAACGACTCGTCGAGGTTCCATAATTGCACTTTGTTGTCATATGATGCGCTTACGAGGATGTAACCATTCGGGGTATGCAAGACTTGGTCGGTGTGTCCTTACAGCTGCTGCCAGGTTGTAGGAAAATTGGTGGGTGTCCGCGTTGAACCGTAGTATTACATGTTCTAATCAAGCAATCAAATGAACCTGAGATAATTAAGGGGTTTTCCATCCAAACCGGACCTATGGTACGTGGTCCAATGCACGTGTCCTTTACATGATCATTGATCGCTGCAGGTCGCATCTACTGGGCATTCATATACATCAGTCGAGAGCTCGTCTCCACCAGTCGCGTCTGGCAAGTAGATGACTGTGAACATCCAGGAATTGTGCCTTGTCTTGATTGGACCGAAGATTGTCTCTCCGCTCTCTATGTCCCACCGCCTTGCAGTCCCATCGAAGGATTCGCTTAGGACTCGCCGACCATCTCCACTCCAGCAAACAGACCAAACTCCGTTTGCATGTCCCGTCCATTTCGCAATCAATTAGCCTGTGTTGGTGCTCCACGACCTCATCCGACCTCCCGCTAACCACTTTCTTCCCGTCCAGAGACAACAATGTGGCCAATATTGTCTCCATCCCGTCATGCCATTCCTATCTGTTTCCCACTCTCCAAGCTCCATGCCTGCAGCGAGCTATTTTTTGAATAAGTTACCATCCACTGTTCGCCTGGCAGATGTCTAGTGTCATGGACTATCTCAGTGTCCTTGCGGGACTTTATCGTTGATGTCTCCTACCTTCCTATGATGGGAAGCTATAATCAACTACTTGGCACAGCTTTCATCCAACAAAGTCCAGAATCATTACTCAATTCAACGTTAAGTCTACAGCAAGTTCCAGTTGGCACATCTTACATGTATCGTCCTCGTGTTGACCTCGCAACTTCTAGTATATGCTGTGCGGCAACAACTTATCAAATTCCGAGTGTTCCACATCGCGCATTTAATGCACAAATCAAACTATTGGTTTTGGTCTGTTTCGTCTTTTACTTTCTTTGTGATAAACCGTTATCACCCCACATCAGATTTCTAGCTTCTACAGTAACACATAGCCTCATCGCGAAATATCTGAGTCCCACCGAAATATACTACCATCAACGGTCTGTCAATCCCTTGCGATCAGATCGCTGACTCGAATGTTGCATAGTTCCATCATACATAGCGTTATGAGCCGCTGGTCCCGGAAGGTAACTGAGTTCAGTTTCATGTTCAAGTATGCAGGAACATCGAGAACTGAATTCTCCTCGGACCGAGCAAAGCTAAGCAGTTCGATCCTCCGTCCATTTTTGTCCGTCACTGACACCGAAGCTCACAGCCTTATCACCCTGCAACCCTGCTTCATTCCTAACTTTGATAATGCAATCCTTCCTATTCTGAAATGGCCCAGCTCCCGGATCTCAAAGCAAATGAGGTACGTGTTGGCAGAGTGAGTCAAGACCTCAACCACCACTTATCAAGTATATTTTGAATAGCTTGTTACTCGTTATCTGTGCCCCAATGATGTTCACTTGTGGCTGTACGATCACCTCTACTCGCTCAATAACACTAGTACTATTCTCGACAAGTCTCGGTCCAGAAAGTCCCACGCTTCCCCCGGATTTCTAAGTTTGTCTGTCTAGAGAACTTAGCTTCGGCAGTATGGCTCTCCGGGAGCGATCCCATATGAAATCCGACTTGATGGCCGAAACTCGATTGAATAGCCAGCCCTTGATTCCATGGCTGACTGTATCTTATGGCCGAACTGTATCCTACTGTCGAACTCGATCCTCTGCTGCCGCACTCCATGCCCTGCAAATCCGGCAAACGAAATCAGTAGTACCAAACCACACCTACACCTTGCTCTCGTCCGACTTCGAGATGCTCGCAGCACTCTTCATGACCCGACTGTTACCGTTCTTGCAGGTTGTGTTGCAAAATGAACTACTGGGGTGCCAGGATATTACTGAGGTATAGAATACATGTGTATAGTATCGAGCGTTCCTACCCGAATGATCTTCTTGCCAATCAAATATCCAATCCATGTTACCAAGACGCTGATGAGACAATTGCCCACCCATGGTACAAATAGCAAGAAAATATATTTCTTTTGCTTCTCGCACAGGAGATCCTCTGCGCTAGAAATGCTCGATGATAGACGCGTCGCCAAACATGCGTCGTCATTTGAGATCAGTTTAATTATAATTAATGCCACTGACACCTCATCTTGATGGTGATCGGTCATGGAGGAAAACGATATGTGTAGACTATATATATCTTGTGTTGCCACATCAATCTAGCTGATTATGCTTATTGTCTACGTTCAAATAAAGGTATATATATCAAATGTTGGTTCAAGTCCAGTGGTGGCTTCGACGCCGCCGCCTCCGCCTATGAAGGGCCATCGACCTTTATCTTCGGAACATACTTATATTATCATATGATTCACATCACACAAATAGTCTTCATAAAAATTGCCCCACCCGGCGTCGGGCATTCATGCTACACTACTACACAGCTCCATGTAAAGTACTGAAAGTGCTCAGAGGTAGAGATAGTGCATGTTTCACGACAGCAGATCTTACGGACATCTATCAATCATACTACTGCATTTTTTACTTTCAAGTTCCTTGGCGGGGACGTAGTTCTGTGACCTCACTGGTAAACCCGTGACCATTTATTCGACCTATCGATCGGCTTGGCATCGCACTTATCAGTTGGAGCTGATCGCTCAGCACAGATACAATTCGGCACGCAACTAATTAATACAAAGTATCTGCTCAAGGTACCGCCCGCTACTGCTCCGAGTTAAGGATCAACGGATCACGGTGGATGCCGACAGTAGACCGTGAACGGTCTTTATAATATATCCTGTCAATAAAATTGTTGATCATGCCTTGTTGGGCTGTCATGTAGTGGACCGGTCATTGGATGTGTACCTGACTGTACACACGGTTTGAACGGCACAGCCGGCGGCAGACTCTAAACTCTGATCTGACGTCGTAAATAGATGTCGGGGACTGACAGGGGTAACTGGCGTGGCCGAGCGCCGTTACGATACATTTGCGGGCTATTATATCTATCGCTGTAGCACTTTTTTAGAGTCCAGCCCATTCCAGCCCCGGGCCCCGGTGGCGGCCGGCGCAATGATGCTCATGTCCGAGTCAGACTGTCAATTTACAGGGAACGTTGCTTTGCGTTTCGTTTGCGCTATCGTCGACGTGTTTTCTGCTACTTTTAGATTATGCTCGTTTTGTACTAAGTACTAGTCGGTACTAGTTAATGGAATTCAATGTAACGAGAGTTCACGTTCCTTTTTCTTTTTTTACTTCAGAATATAGCGCTTTGCAATTGGGGTCATTGACCTCGTGTTGGACATTTAACTCGTCACAAACTTTCTTTCGTTTGGTTTTTGTTGACTGGATTCTATCGGGTGGATGAGACGGACTTGTACTTCATTTTTCTTTATCAGGGGATATCCCACCAGTCCAAGGGCCGCACAAGGCACCATTTCATTTCATAATATAAGTAGTTCCCGTGACACACGCGTCGAGACTTCATGTAAGTCGCGCTTAGTGCTGCTTGAGCGTTTTAATATGTACTTCGCACTGCATGACGGTGAGAGACTCGAAGAAACAATTTGAACTAGTGCGTAATTATACAATTGTATGCGGTAAATTCTGTTTAAAATTCAGGGGAACGAACATCCTTCAACTTCAGAGGTAACTTGCTCCACAAGAACCTAGCAACCCCCCCCCTCCCCGTCAACTAGTCTCGTTGCAGTAGTAATAGTCCTATTGCTAAACTCAGATCGACTGCGCTGTTGAATTGAATCATGTCGCTTACAATGGAGGTGACGGTGTAGCAGCAAGCGGCTAGGTAGCCACTTTCACAAGGCTCTGAGTAGCTTCGGCATTCCTCGTCGTTAACACTACCCGGTTCAGATGTATCCTTTACAACACATGTAAGCGCAAATGTATCTCGCCGTTTATCGATGCTTCTCACCTCCTCGCAACAGAGAGCTGTGCCCTGACCGCAGCTGGTCGAACTCGTCGATGCCTTGATACTGGCTTGCGAAACGAGAAGTAAGATGGCAAAAACAATGGAAGCACGAACGAACATGTCAATTAGCCCATTGAGGTTCAAATGAGTGCAGCACTATTTAAGCACACGCAGCCAAGAGTTTATCACACGAATGTATGCGTTTTATTCTGGAACTGAAACTGGATTGGCCGGCTTCGTTGGAGTGCGAGCTTGAGGCAATAGTCCATACTTGATGTCACCATAGGCTTCCATGTGAAAATGATCGCCACCGCAGTTCAACGACAGGGCTTTCTGATAGGTACTCAGATATGGTCTAGGCTAGACGGCGTCCTCCGATAATCAGGCTGCGGCCTTGATGTCCTAAAATTACGAAATGGACATCCCGATCTAGAACACTGGTGGCACGAGCCACGAGAAAATTTTATCGTCAGAGTGATATTGGAGTATAAGGCGGTCGAGAAATACGGTTGTTTGGGGCTGTTGATAGATGCAGAATGATGAGAATGGTCAGAGTGCAAGTGCAACTTGATGGAGTTCGATGGACTCGTCCAGATCAGACGGGATGCCACGTTGCTGCTCGAATCTGGAATGAAGGATGCTAGGAAGGTTGTGAATCGATCAGAATAGCCAGGGGGATGGAGGGCAGCTCGAACGAGATCAATGACCTCATCCAGGTCAGACACAACGCCCCGCTGCTCGAATCTAGTATGAAGGCCGCTGAGAAGGGTATCGAGAAAGGGACTGATACGAACAGCCAGGAGGCCAAGAGCAACTCGAGTAAGTTCAATTGCCTCCTGTACGTCAGACAGGAAGCCCCGCTGCACGAATATCCCTCCAAGGCTGGTGGTTACTGAAAGAGCAGGATCGGTAAGAAATGGTCGAGGGGACAGAGAACAAGTGCAGCTCGATATAGCTCGATGATCTCATCCAAGTCGGGCAGAATGCCCGTTGCTCGAATTTGCTCGAATCTGGTTTGCAGGCTCATAGCAAGGTTGTTCAGAGACCCGGATTGAAAAGAATTGCCAGGTGAACAAAGGGCCAATGCAACTCGATGGAGCCCAATAGCCCATCCATATCAGACGGGGTGCCCTGTCGGTGAGATATTTCTCTAAGGCAATTGGCAAGGTTGTTGGATGTCGATGAAAGTGACCACGCTAATGAAGCAGCAATGAGGCTCGATGGAGCTCGACGGCCTCATCAAGATCACAAAAGACACCCCGCTGCTGTAATATGTCTCGAAGGCAGTTGGAAAGGTTGTTGAGAGACGTGGATATGAATATGGCCAGTGGGACGGAGCAACAATGGAGACCGATGGTGTTCAATGGCCTCAGACAGGACACCCCGCTACTGAGATCTGTCCTGTAGGCTGATTGCAAGGTTGTTAAATGATGTAGCTCATCCAGATCAGGTAGGACGCCCCGCTGGAATCTGTCTCGAAGGCTGTACCGAGAAATAAGAGTCTGCGAGGATGGCCAGGGGGAAATTCGTGCAACGCCGCTCGACATTGTTCTACGTTATTTGCTACATCTCGACAAGGAATACGAGGGATGCCCAGGAATGACCAAGGCGAGTCGGAACATGCTGAAACGAGAAGAATATAACTGTCTCAGCTCCGTAGTAAACGTCTCGAAAATTGAGTGATATCATGGTCATTTGCATAGTGTCGCATATAACTGTATATAACCAACACACAATGAATGAACAGAAACGTGCACTGACTCATCTAGTACTGCCAGATATTGGAGGGAAATTATTTAGCGGTCGAGCTTGGAGAGGCCGGGAGCGTCTTGTTGGCACGCGAAAGCACATTTCTGATCAGGATTCGTGTGAAAATTTGACGATCCTTTGCAATCCAAAGAGGTGGCGAAAAAATGTATTCGCTGAGCATCTACTGCAGTGAAGTTTGAACGAGCAGGAGTGGCCACCACATTAAGGGCACGCACGACCGACTGCGTAACAAAGCAGCCGCGGAGCTGGGACCGTGCGAAGCATCAAATCACGGAGAACGAGTCCTTCGGTCGGCAACGCTCAGCACCACCACGGTGCACCTACGTAATACATACTACTATCATTGCTTCCTGCTATCCTGAATACAACAAGCCTTCAAAGTTTTCGTGTGCCCATTCTAACTCACTCTAGTGTTAGTTATCGTTTTGATGTCTGTGTGCATATTTTTTTAAGCAGTTGATCACTGGTATCGTTATCACAGTCGCGCAAACGCGATGGAAAGCCTCTGAGTCAGAAGAAGTTAGTCTCATACTGCGATTTGGTATTTATCAAGTTCTTGACCTTGCAGGCCTTAATCTCAACCTAAAATTGGGCGATCCTTCTAGTTCTCGGCGGTTAGATCCGACTCGAAAATTTAATCCTGAACGTTGCCTTCGTCGGTTATCTTTGCCGGACGATGAGCTGCACAGTGCTCAGCTGTCGATTTCGTGATCTTGCAGGGTTGGTATGTAATAATATGTATATGGTATCCTCCGGGGGCTTTTTACTGGTCCCGCTGCACTTAAGTTTGACACTCATGGGAAGTAGTCGATGAAATATGCAAACGAGATTCCACGTATCCTACGCCGCACAAGGCAGAATTTCATCTATATCGTGAGTTATCAACTTGCTACGCGTTATGCTTACTGGTGGAGAGCGTTTCGAGACTTCAAATTGAGTACTGAACGATGATATAGAGGTTCAAGAGATTTTTTGCACCAGTGGAATATTAGTTATAGATTCAAGATAAATTTATGGTATAATCCGTTCGAAAGTCCAGCCTAACAAATGTCCTTCATGTACTGCAGTAATAATAGTCCTATTGCAAACTGAGATTGACCAAGCCATTGAATCAAGTTGTGAAGCTTACCGTGACGGTGTAGCAACAAGATTCTACGTAGCCACTTCTGCAACTCCCTGAATAGCTTTGGCACTGCTCATCATCAACATACCCCGTCGGGTTGGACGAATTCTTTTGCAACACATGTAAGCACAGGTGTCTTTCTACGCTTATGAATCTTTCTCACCTCCTTGCAGCAATGAGCTTCACCGTTACCACAACTAATAGCGGCTATAACATAGGCTTGGGAAAGGAGAAGGAAGATAACAGGGATTCGAACGAACATGTTGATATGTATCGAGGTCTGAGCGAGTGCTGTTCCATGAACAGATGCCGCAGTATTTAAACCCGTCGGCCAGCGTCGGTAAAGTTAGTTGAACGTTAAATTTGAATGATTTCATACCTGATGAGTCACTAGGCGCTTCCCGAGGGCTCCCCGAGGTTGCATGGTAGCGACTCCATGTCGAAAATTGTAACCACAGTCAGCATATATGGAGACTGGTCACTGGTACCCTGTTATCACTTGGATCTTCCTCGGTTTCTGCAATCCCTGACCAAACCGACCAAACCCTACCTGGGTTCTTTGTTCGGACTGTGTCGGGCAGTCGTCGGACCTATTTGAACCTACCACAATGTTAGACTGGATTGTTCGGTGCCCTGTTACTAGTTCGCCACCATTCGGCTCCCAAGCCGTGAAGTATGTAGTAGCACTGCAGCAGTGTAACGTAATAACGTAATGAGAAGACCTCATAAACCTCATAGATGTTGGACTTTGGACTTTACTCACGTGAATTTTCGCTTTCTCTGATTTATTATCACTCCGCCAACATTCTTACTGGATTATCTTTTCCCCCGAATCATCGCACTCTCGAACTCTCATGATATCACGTCGTACTGTTTATTCGTGTCCGACCCTTAAGTCATAAAGCACCTGTACTGGCACGATGCAAAGTCGTTCATATGGGTCCTCACCTGGGTCTGTCTTCGTTATCAAAATGGCGAACTACTGAACAAGGGCGGGCGACTTAATTGGTGGCTGCAAATAATCTTGGATTGTCATAGCATTGAACCCTCACCATCGCGGGAAAGTTGCACGATGCTCTTGTGGGTTTGTTCCATATGGACAACCCTGAAACTTCCTGGCAAACGCCATCGTATTTGGGATGTGGCTTCAGAAAAATATTTGCCACCGACTGTCACCAGAGCTCCTAGATGTTCACGTAGTTATACTTAGAGTCCATCTTGTTCATAGCATGACTAATCTCAAGTTGATGTCCATTTCCAAGTTCTTTAGTTCGTTCTTTCAAGGATTCGGTTCTTGTTTTCATGGAGTTTCAAATCATTGCCAACACAGCATGTTGTTGACCCGGCAACCCCTAGTCCTCACAGCACGGAACAGGACAGACCATTACACACCTGTATAAAACTATTTCCCAGTGTACGTCACTGAGCGGGTGAATACAACCATAACTCTATCGCGAGCCTCGCTGGCTATTGATTGAACAGCTCCATCTGCTGTGAGATTGAACATCCTGGTAGGTCGGAGCGTTTACTTGAAGTTTTAAATGCAACTGGAAATTTTGAATGGCAGAGCAGTGCAGACTAAGACTAAGAGTCAGCTATACGAGGACTGGAATATAACTCAGCATTGCATACGGAGGTCAGAAAAAGATCAACATACCGTTGGGATCATTAGACAACCAGAGTCGAGGTAAGAAACAGCAACAAAGCTAGCGTGTGCAGAACTTCAGCGGAAGAAGAGAACTAGTCACATCGTGCTAATGGGTAAAGGGGTGTTAAGAGCGCGCGGGATCAAGATAACACGGAGCTCAGTCGATCGGAAATGAAGCTCTGAAGCAAAGTTCAAACGATAAACGGCCTGCAGAAGTCACGTTGACAGCTGAAAGTCACTACATCCGTGTCCATGTGTTAGGTCGTATTCGCATGATTGGAATTAAGTAAATGATCGCATGAGCGTAGTGGACAACGTGGCAAAATAGAACATGTTGCAATTCAAATACTAGCGCTGCCTCGTGGAATCCATGCCTGCAGTGCATGCAAGACTCACCTTCGTTGTTGGCTACCATCGAGGAACTAGCAGAACTGGTGAGTACTGTGCAACTGTTCTCGTCATTTTCGATCATGAACAAGTCAGCCAGAAAAATCATACAGAGGGCTTACGGTAGCGAACTATGCCTCCACTTGTGATGCCGACCATCGAGGAAAATGTGACTTCGGTGTCTGAACCCCCTGCGATGCCGACCGCTGAGGAAACTCAACCCCCGACGCAACCCAATAAACCGACTCCAAAACACCGATTCAAGGGTCACAACAACCAAATTTTGGATTTCGTCTTCTTGCACGACAACATCCATGTTGTGAGTGGTTCGTTGGACGGCAAGATGCGCAAGTGGAACTGCGACACGGGACTTCTTGTTGGAGAACCATGGTCCGGCGAGGGCGGAGCGATACATGCACTGGCGCTTTCACCGGACGGGAAGATAATTGCCTGCGGGAGGGAAGACGGAAGCGTTCAGCGGTGGGACACTGACGGAAAGATGATCGAGGGCGTTTGGACAGGTCATAAGGAGTTGGTGCGGTCACTGTCGTGGTCTCCCAATGGACACCATATTGCAAGCGGGTCCGACGATGGAACAATCCTGATTCGAAAAGCAGTTGAGAGCGGAGAGATCAAGGCGGGCCCGATCGAGACGGGGCAGGTTGGTGTACTTGCACTTGCATATTCACCTTCAGGCGACAAAATTGCATCAGGCGGGAAGAACCAGACGATTTGCATTTGGGACTCGAAGACAGGCGAGCTCGTCGTTGAGCCTATCGAAGACCTTGGGCACTACGTGTGGTCTGTGGTGTGGTCGTCGGACGGCACCAAGTTGTATGCCGCCTTGGGTCATTTCGCACGCGTTTTCGACAGTAACTCAGGCACAGAACTTCATAACTTCAAGCACATTCATCCGCTGATTTCCGTTGCGCTTTCACCCAAACACAATGTACTGGCATGCGTGGGCATAAGAGGTATTGCACGGCTATGGGACACAAAGTCCCATCAACCACTCGGTCAGCCATTTAATCAGGAGGAAGGGATCCCTTTGTGTGTGGCATTCTCCCCGGATGGCAAATATGTAGCATATGGGGGAACAGACAACACAATCACTTTGTGGGTGGTAAAAGAGATAGTTCCAGAGCTTCCAGTGCGTAATTTCACAACCATATTTCTAGGTGACAAGTTACATAGCAGGAAACTTGTCTCTAGTCACCGCCGTCATCTTGTCTTGAAGTCAGTATTCTTGCATTCCACTGCCTCCGTTCTTTTGTTTATAGAACTACTACAGGCTGACACTACAGATCCTTTTGCTCAATCAAGGAGTGATAATTACGGCGACTTTTCTCAGGTAAGCCTCGTGTTTCGTCATGCAGAGGGTACAAGCATTGATGATAATGATTCGAAGTCTTATCATCCTTCGGCACTACCTGGCCCATCTTGTCGTTCCCAGAATACCCCCGCATCTCCTGCTCGCCGCTTTTGGAACATCCGCATCCCCTTTCGAGATCGTCCGACAGAAAGTGAGTCCATTGCGCTGCATCAACGCCCCAAACATAGTTTCTTTGGACGCCGCTCGGGACCACAGCCTGTAACAGTCTCCGCTGCACACAAATTAAAGGTAAGCAATGTATTAGGTGTCCCTCTTTCTGCTGCACTTATACATATCCTATCCTTCAGAAGCGTTGGATAGCGCGTCACCCTGTAAAGACTAATGCTCAGGCTGGTCAATCGCCCTCAGCGACAATACAGCATACAACGCAGCCACATTCGACGCCTCAACCTCAGCCTCAGGCACAGGAAACGATACAACAACCTGCTCAAGAAGATCGTAGTCGATGGGGCAAATTCTGCATTGCACTCGGGTGCATCCCACGCCGCCCTCTTCCCGTTCCCTCCCCTGCTCAGCCTGCTACATCGTAATATCACGTTACCAAGTGTGTTTCGTTTTTTCCCATATCTAAGTTTCATGCGCTTCACTCTTGTTTGTGCCTAATCACTATTCAGTCTCTACATACATCAGTTCTTGCTATTATCACTAGCATGCGCGTCTGGCTGATGCTCTATTTAAATCAAACGATAAGTGGATTGTATACGCCTTTTATTCTGAGGTACTTGGTGTTAGACAGGAAACTTGTAAATTCACGGTGGGGTTGCCGTGTGGTCCCCAATCATGATGATGAATCGTGATAGCGAGAATGTCGAATCCAGACCATAGTACAACATATACGAAAGACGAATGTCTACAGACAAATGTTAATAATTTTAACCCTCTTCTTGAAAAGGTACAATATTTCTAGGGCCCTGACGACCGTCACGTTGTCAACAGCAGCCGTATCTTTGACTTGTGCAATGATAACATGGTCCGAGGCGATTCTCTTGTATTCTCCGCCGTGCTGCTGCGCTAGTAACGAAGCACTGAAATGCTGTTCAAGGTGAACGATCAACCGCAGCACTCGTGAGTGAGACTCCAGATCGACCAGCTCCTCTTCCACCGAGGAACCGCGGGGCGAATCGTCTATCGATGACCCGGGCGCAGACCAGTGGTCATCCTCGCTCTCTCAGGCAAGGACGGTAGGGCGCGTGGCGGAGCTGTATATGGTATTGAAGGCCTTGATGGCTTTATCATAGCATTGTGCGCAACGAAGCGATGCATACTTCATATGGTATCCAACATGAGACTCAGGGTTGGGTTACATGACCTATGTATTGCCAAGGTGAGTATTGCGTACGAAATCCTATGTAGACGTCATCGCACCATTTGCGCATCGAAAAGCGCATCCACCCACAGCATTTTCTCCAACATCACCTCGCTGTGGATTGTGAAGAGTGCGTAGCTAGCAGAATCAAGGTCTGCGACCGCCACAGAGTATAAGTCAGTAGCCTTGTCGTAATCACTTGCAGCGAGGGCAGTATCTCCATTGGCAAAATAGAGGGCCAGTATTCTTGCTCGAACACTGAATAAAATGTGGGAGTGAAGATCATAGCACGGAGTAACATTACTAAAAACTTGCCAGTGGACTATTTGAGGCAGATGGTCTTCGTACCTTGATGAATGGCGTTCATTTGGACCCGGTATGATTCGAGGACTTCTTCAAGCTTATTTGCCGAAAGGAAAGTCTGACACCGCTTCTGATGAGCAGTCAACCACAAGGACTTGAGGTCCCACCCGAAGAGCTGGAAAAAGCACGCAGCTGGCAGTGTAAAACATTTCGGTTCTATTATATCAACATACCAACACGAAGTCCTCGTATATAGCATGGATAGGCCATGACTATGCGAAAGTACAGGATTTGACAGCGGCAGTGAAGTGACCAGCTTCGTCGTAATGCGCGCAATTCAGAGCATTGGTCCCAGACTGAACGCGTAGTAGTCTACTAGTAGACATGCCTAATGTGTGATCAGTGTTGAACGTTGATGCCTGAGCCTAGGCCTTGATACTCACTTCCACGACACGACCGTCGACATGCGACCGTGACAGTATGTATCGGCATTCGGACAATCGGCAGCTAGTTCTTTTACGAATAGCATTGCTTCCTCATGTAGTAGATCCGTGTTGAACATGATGATACGAAACACATGATGAAGCACGGAGCGTGCGAGACAAATTTGACCTGTCTTGATCAAGCTAGAAGTAATTCAATATTGAACCAAAGGTCTCTGCATCGGATGTAATCTATTAATAAACAGGTCATGGCGGTTTACATAAATGATAGAAGGAAACTATGGAAAGATGATGCCTTGTTAAGATGACGGTAACGAAGGCTTTTGGGAACGCTACATCCGAGTCTATCGAGTCTCGACGGCTTGCCTCATACTGACGGGCTGGTCACCTGCAGTCTACCTGCAACTTCTAGCACTCCTCAACGCCGCGAACCACTCAAATGGGTGATCTCTAATTCGGAATTAGAAATAACTTATTTGAGTGGTTCGAATATGTATCGAGTCAAAAGTTGATTTGACACTGCCTGGGCCATTGATCGCTCTTAAAAGCCGCCTGCATCGCTGACGCCCGCTTATCCTCCTACTGCATTCCACCACCATCATCAGCTAGCTTCGAATAGCACTGCAAGCATCCTTCAAACCTTACTGTCTCCACCATCCGATAGTTTCATTGCATATAAAACACACGCGCCGACTCCCAAACATCATTTCAGCTCAAGGCTTTTCACAACCTCGGCCCGCCCGCCCAACCCAGACTCAAAAAAATACAAGAGCATAGACTTGGATTCTTCAGTTCGCATCATTGTATGTCGTCCGTCTCGATAGTCGTTGTCAATATGATTATTAACCGCTCGAACTCACCAGTACTTCCCTGAGTTGTCGCACTCGACCTCACACTGTATCACATATTATCGTCAACCTCTGTCGATGAGTGATTTAGATCAGTGTTAGTATCTTCTTTTTTATCCCCTCTCTCGCTCTCTGACCTTATTTACAGTCCCCCAACCGTCTGAAGGACCTTTGGACAAGTTGTCCCGGGTCGCTGTCCCGGGCGCTGCATACGACTCTCCAGAACGCCAGCCCCATCCGAAATGTTTGAAAGGGACCCGAGAACACCTTCTCAAATACATCTATAAATCATTAGATAACCAAAAGAAGAGTCGACTCATCTGGCTGCATGGAACGGCGGGTGTCGGAAAGTCTGCTGTTGCCTTCACTGTTGCTGAAAAGATGAGAGCTATGAAAGTGACAGAGGAGACGAAAGTCGAAACACGGCTCGCGGGGACTTTCTTTTTCTCGCGCAAGCATACGAAATGCAGCACGAGTGGTCATTTCTTTGCAACGCTTGCCTACCAGCTTGTGGCCAATTTTCCAAGCGTGCGGGAGGACGTGAGCAGAGCTATCCGTGAGAATCCTGCAGTTCTAGACTCCCGCACATCTCTCCGTGACCAGATGGAGGTGTTGTTTCGCCAACCTCTCCGGCACTTGCAATCCAGGCTGCGTGAGTGTCTGCCTCCGGTGTTCGTTGTTGACGCCCTCGATGAATGCAAGCCCGAAGCCGTCGCTGATCTGATCTCCCTGCTTGGCCAAATCCTTCGGGATCCTGATCTTCCCGTGATCCACATTCTGCTCACGAGTCGCTCGGAAGAGCATATCCGTAAGGCCATTCAAGAACAGGAGATGCGCCCGCTGGTGGACGAGATACCGGTGAAGACGTCAGGAGAGGACATTACTGGCACCATCTCGTTAGACGGCGCAGATGTTGACAACGACATCAATATTTTCTTGCGGTATTCTTTCACAGGATTGAAAAGTTGCCATCCAGATTTCCCGCAGCCAACGGAGGAGGAGCTTACGCTATTGGTGAGCCGAGCGGGCAGGCGTTTCATTGTAGCATCTACAATGATGAAGTTTATCGATGATGGATATAGTGATCCCCGGGGTCGGCTTAAGCTCCTGCTCAAGCTAACGAGTGAGCTACTGCCGGCAACGGAGGTGTACGAGTTATACGACCGCATCATTTCCACATGTGCAAACCCCGTGCGAGCACATTTGCACCTGTCCGTTGTCGCAGCCCTTGCAGACCCTCTGCCAATCTCACAAATCTCGAAGCTTCTTGGGCCTGACCAGGGAAGGGATGTCGAGACGACGCTGGTACAGCTCCGGTCTGTCATGGATATTCCCACTGACAGCAGTCTCCCCGTGAATATCTATCACTCGTCTGTTCGCGACTATGTTTCAGGCCCCTCGAACTGCAGAGTCCTCGAATCAGGATTTATCATATCACCACATTCCCTACTAGCGCACGGCTCTTTCCGCTTGATGATCCAAGACATTCCAGAAAGCACAGACCTCCTGGATGCGCTCTTAGCATTGAAGGAGCACAACCAAGCTATGCAAACCGATGACCTCCACAGCTTGCAGCAGTCATTAGCATTCGTAGTCGAGCCACCGGAGCCAATGCGCGTTCTTATGGGTCTCTTATGGCTTCGGGGAGCTCGCGGGTCGGGTTTACGGTCGTGGCTAGAGACTTTGGATGGACGTGCATGGCTACAGACCCAAGATGGCGAAGGGTATCTGCGCACCTCAAAGGGGGAAGACTGGCTGCGGACCCGAGCTGGTGGACATTGGCTACAGACCCATGCGGGGGACACTTGGTTGCAGACCGAGGGTGGGCGAGGTTGGCTGCAGAGCGGGCCGGGATGGCTGTGGACTCAGAGATGGCGAGAAGTTACTGGAGACCCTGACGAGCCCATGCCATTGGAGACTTGGAACCGGCGAGACTGGCTGGACACTATTATCGGGCAAGGCTGGTTGGAGACACCGAGCGGGCGAGAATGGTTGCAGACCCAGACCGGGGAAGAGTGGCTGAGGACCGAAACTGGAGGAGAGTGGCTGCAGGGCCGACGTGGGGAAGAGTGGCTCCAAACCTCGACTGGACACACGTGGCTGCAACAGACTGTGACTGGTCGGGAGTGGTTGCAGACACAGGGGGGACGAGAGTGGCTGCAGAAACAGAGTGGCCAAGAATGGCAGGTCATCAAGAGGGGGCGACAGTGGCTGGACACCAAGAGAGGGAAAGTGTGGCTGGACACCAAGAGCGGGACAGTGTGGCTGGACACCGAGAGCGGGAAAGCGTGGCTGGACACCGAGAGTGGGAAAATATGGCTGGCCACCGAGAGCGGAAAAGTGTGGCTGGACACCGCGAGCGGGAAGGTATGGCTGGACATCAAGAACGGAAAAGTGTGGCTGGACACCGAGAGCGGGCGACACTGGCTGGACACCAAGAGGGGCCGAGTCTGGCTGGACACCGAGAGCGGGCAAGTGTGGCTGGACACCGAGAGCGGAAAAGTGTGGCTAGACACCGAGAACGGGAAAGTGTGGTTGGGCACCGAGGGTAGGAATGTGTGGCTGGACACCGAGAGCGGGCGACACTGGCTGGACACCAAGAGGGGGAAAGTGTGGCTGGGCACTGAGAAGGGGAAAGTGTGGCTGGACACCGAGAGGGGGAAAATGTGGCTGGACACTGCGAGAGGGAAGTTGTGGCTGGACACCAAGAGCGGACAGGAGTGGCTGGTCATCAAGAGGCTGGGCACTGAGAGCGGGCAAGTGTGGCTGGACACTGAGAGCGGGCAAGATTGGCT